CTCTGCCCAAACCATCCCAATGCCATGGTACTGCTTGATTTCCAACACACAGTTTTCAAGTCTAGTAATGGAAGAGGGAGAAACCTGGCTTGTTCATCTTCTCTTTGTAAACAGTGTCCATCTGTCAGGTGCTGTTTACACAGGAGCTACCATCTTAATCATTCTCTAACCTGTATTTTCAAGACATAGGCAGCTATGCTAGGTTGTTTGTGCACATGTGAATTTGATTTCTTTCATCATTTTGACTGCACATTGAGTATTCTTTCATTTTACATATAAAAAATGGTGTTCTTGGAACTAGATACATGTTCTGAAACCTGAATCTGTGTACTTGGTAAACAATACAGATAACCATGTGGATGTGTGTGTGGGGGGGGTTGTGTAGATTAAAATGGCTAGAAACAGCTGCCCACTTTCAAAACATTCTATGCTGATCTTAAGAAAATAAATGAAGGACTGGTGGTGTATTTTAGTGATACAGTGACAGAGCACTCGCTAGTATGCCTGAGGCCCTGGGTTTCAATCCCAGTGCTAAACAAACAAACAAAAAAAAAGTCACAGGAAAGAAACATGGTTAAGTGACTCTGCAATGCTGGTGAATGCCAGCCACGCAGGCAGAGGGAGCTGCTTATGTCCTGCCTGGTGGCCAGGTCTCCCCTGGTGCGTTCCTGACAGACACCAGCGGGTCAGATACTACACTTGATCTTAGCCAAAAGGCTGAGAAGCCATCACCAGCTGGACAGAGCTGGAATATGTGTCATCCTTAGCTGCTGGGGGAGCGGCTCTGCAGAGACCTGCCACAGGGCTGGGGTGTCTGTGCATCTCCGTGCATTTAGGGTTCAGGGCCTGCATCTCCTGGTATGGTCAGGGCCTGCCAAATGCCACCTCTGAGTGGGTGGTTCTTGCCCTCACTGCCCAATTGCCCCAGGCACAGCAGTTAATTTCATCTTGACCCCAAGAACAACACCAGTTCCCCAAGGACAAATCAATGGCCTTGACCATCTGTGAGCTAATGCCTAGTATTATCCCCAGCACCTGAGTGGAGTCTCAACAGGTCAGCTGAATACAGGCACAAGTGACTGATGGGTGCTTGTCACTAAAAATCTTAGGAGGGCATTCCCTTCACTCATTTCCCCCAGCATACCACACCAGATTCTACTCTGCTGTGATTTGCCTCCAAATGTTTACTTAGCAAGTAATTACTGACAGGGTCCCTGGAGGGGCCACGACCAACAGGTGGGACAAACTCCAGCCTCTAGAGGGGAGGCATAGGGCCATCAATGAGTGAATAAGCAAAAGGATGACAGGAGGAGGAGGCCAAGCACCATGAGACAGCCAGGGACATGCATGACTCTAAGCCCACCCTATACTAACTATACCAGATCAGGCACAGAAGAAGCCCCCTCTCCCGAGGGCTAATCAGGCTGAAGGACAGCGTGAGGAACAGTCCAGAGTCAAGTGGATGTGGTAGCTCAGAGGGGCAGAAAGGAGCTGGTATGGCCAAGTCACAGGAAGGTGGCAGGGGAAGAGACTAGGCAGGGCTGCCAGACCTAGGGGCAGAATCCCATTCCAAGGCCAGGGGAGCCACGGAGGTACTGCACACCTGCAGACACGAGGCACGTTCTGTGAAAATCGCGGGGGCTGTGGGCAGAAGGTCTCAGGCATGTCACGTTATTAGCAAGGTCACCTGACACAGCAATGCCATCTGGAAACATGGAGTAGGTAGCTAGCCGTGCACCCAACTTCAGGACGTACTTGTCCCTGCTGAGTCTACAGAGCTGCACTCCTGTTGGCCCATTTCCTCACAGAGGAGACTACGAAAGGGCAGGACTGCTGTACATGGGACAGGTGACCCCCCTCTCGCACTGCGTCAACCGCACCCACATTTGCCTGAATACTTTTATTCTCTCTGAGTTTTCTTAAGACATAGTTGTTGAGTTGGGCCTGTGTTTGAACTGTGTGCCCTCAGTATGGCCTCCTGGACCACCATGCTTGAGACAGCTCCTCTGTTGTGTGTTCACACATCTGCCCATGAGTTCTCTCTCCCTGCTGTGCTGCAGTCCACCACAGGCCTGCCCGTCATAGGAGGCTGACTTGGGGCCATGACTGCCTGAGTGTCATTTGGCAACACTGCTGGGAGTGGAACTGTGGCTCCAAGGCCCCCACCACGCCATTCCTGTGTGCCCTTGTTGGTGAGGGAAAGTTCCTTCTGCTTTGGGAATGCTAGAGCTTGGCATCTGCTCCCTTGATGACTTCTCCAGTCCTGTGAGTGCACCTCAGTCCTAAACCAGAAGGTTCAGGGTCAGGTCTTTCAATCAAGTTTCCAGAGAAAATTTCTGTCGTGCAGTTACCTCCAGACTCTCTCTTTCTATACACCAACGATGCAAACCAACCCCAGGTCAGACAAGGGAGCTATGTGGGGTTCGTCCCTGGTTGGTAAATCACTCCCAGGTCAATTCCTTCACAGGTGAAGTGGGACAAGTCCCATTTTCGTGATGGATGTCATGGGATTGGAGGTGAGGCTATAGAACAACTTATAAAAAGTGTTTCTGTAGCATGCACAAACTGAAGGAAAGCTGGGGAAAAGGAGAGAGCTCTGTCATGGCAGGAGTGGGTGGATACCTGGTAGCACTGAGCTGCTGCTTTTTGGGCACAATTCTTCCAACCTGCCCATCTTGCTGGTATCCCACTTTGCTTGGCCTTGGCTTCCTTACAGGTTCCCCAGTTCTTACATCCAGCCTTGCTTATTACCTCTTGTCTTAAAAGACAAAGCTGGCACCCTGTGTACCTGGCCTCCATCAATTCCACCTCATCTGGGTTCTTGAAACAAGCATAATGAACTACTTTATTTGGCAAAATATGCCCAAAGACATTAGTAACAACAAGGGGACACACACTGGTACTGAGTGTTTTCATTTTCATCACATCAACACTGGCTACAATTGCTTTACTCTACTAATATGAACGTCAATACCACAAAAGCCTAAGTAGAGCATTCACTCTTTACCAGTAGAGAGAAATGCCAGAAGGTTCCTTCAGTCAGCATGCATTACAATGGAACACAGATTTTAACAGAAAGGAAGCATCCAGGAGCTCTCCAAGTATGAAACCTTCCACAAAGTTCTACAGATAGTTAACATAGAGATTAGTTACTATCTTCGCTTAGAACAAAATGGAGACAGGCAAATGTTTAATTCATGCTTTCTGTAAGGACAGTGATGGTGAGATATCAATGCTTGTGCTTTAGAAAGTCATGCCTGTTATCCCCCTCTCTCTCCTGTCTGTCTCTCCCCCAACCGTCATCTGTCTCCTTCCACGCTGCTCTTTGCTCTGGGACTACAGAGCATACTCATCTAGAACATTCTTCACTGGAGGGAGGACTGCATGGTGCCCTGGGTAATTATCATCAGTTGCTTCCTGACAGCCCAGTTCCACTGTGAGCTAGACAACTATATAAAGTCTCCGTGCTGAGAGCACCGTTCTCAGGACATTTTACCCATGAATAGCCACTATAAGCAGAGTAGTCTAGAAGCTGAGGGCCTCTCCTAGTCCCTGCTTGTGCAGAGGCATGGGATATGTCCTTTCTATCAGACAGCAGAGTCATGCATGATTTGGGTTTTGAGGAAAGCAGGAGAGGCATTGGGAGTGGGGATGCTGTGAACAGATGTGCATGCCAGTGGAGGGACAGTGGTGTGGGTTCAGCCTGACCACAGGCCAGGGAGGGGATATGAGGAATCCAAGAGGACCAGTCCAGGTGATGGAGAGGCCTGGAATTTGGAGAACAAGAAAGAAATTCACCCAGATCATCTGGACAGATGGAGGAAGGTGCTGGGAAAAAGAGGCTGGTCTGTGAGTGGAGAGCATGGGCTCACTGGCCTACCCTGGTCTTTGCTTTTATCCTGCCCTCCTCATTCTTGCTGCCATGGTTTCATCTGGGTCCCTGGACTCCTGGGCTGTCTCACAGTTGCAGGGGAGTGGATATGGCCACAAGAGCCAGCCTCTAGGGCAGAGGCAGAGCAGGGCCTCTCCTCCACCCCAATGTCTGGGTTTCCAGCCTCATCACGACCTACAACTCTCCCAGTGTTGCCTTTTCCAATCAAATAGCAGTGTCATTACTTTAGTTGACACATTCTGGACAGAAAACTCTGATTTTCCTACTGCAAAAACTAACAAAAATCAAGTCATTTGCATTCCTTAAGAAAGCAGTAAAAGACAGTGGTCATACCTGACTGAACAAGAACTGGCCTACCCTGCCTCCCTGCCCTGTTGTCAGTCTGGAGAGAAGGAAGGCACAGGAGGAGAAGCAGCAGCCAAATGGGAGGAGGGTGCAGCACAAGGGTGAGAAGGAAATTCTGAAACTGCATGCTTCTCCTCAGAAGCCAGAGAGGGAAGCAGACACACCAAAACCAGACCTGGACCAGGGCTCCACCTGGCCCTGCCCTCCTACCTACGCATGCAGGCTCCCGGCTACCTCAATCTGGGAGGAAATCTCCACTTCCTCCGAGAGCAAAGTCATGGACAAGAAAATTCACGAACAGGAATTTGGACTAAGTGAAATGCCAGTCTGTTTCTAGATAAGATTAAGAAAATACCTGTGTTTGCTTTTGCTTTGAACTAATTATGCATTTATAAAAGTTAAAAGGGAGATTTAACATAGTCTAACAAAATAACTGCTAGGTCTGTCTGGGGTTGGGAAGGTGGTAAGGTATTGGTGCTGCTAGCAGCAATGCTGACCCCCCAGGAACAGGTCTGACACCTTGTGGGTCACAGAACAGCACCAGAGAATGATTCTCTCTCTTACCCTCCTCCCAGAATCATTCCCTGCACACAGCCTCCAGGTCCAAGGGCTATTAAGAGCCCACAGAAAGCCAATACAAAGCAGCTCAGCCTCTACCCTAGGACAGGACTGGGGAGAGGGGTAATTACTGCCTTCCAGGAGGCTGTGGTCAGAGGTCCTGCTCAGCGTCAGGCTTCTTGAACACTTTCTCTTCCCCCTGCAGGCTTTGTGCTGGTCATTGGACTGGTGACCTTCTACAGAATCGGCCCCTACACCAACCTATCCTGGTCATGCTACCTGAACATCGGTGCCTGCCTTCTGGCCACTCTGGCAGCTGCCATGCTCATCTGGAACATTCTTCACCGGAGGGAGGACTGTATGGCACCCCGGGTAATTGTCATAAGCCGCTCCCTGACAGCGAGGTTCCGCCGTGGGCTGGACAATGACTACGTGGAGTCTCCATGCTGAGAGCACCCTTCTTAGGACTTTACCCATGAACAGCTACTATAACGGAATAGTCTAGAAACCAAGAGACTCTCCCAGTCCCTGCTTGTGCAGAGGCATGGGATATGTCTGGGCTACCTATCTACACACATGTACGATACGCATGTACATTTACTATGTTATACATGAATATGTTATGTGTCTATATGTCATGTGCACCACCCTATTTCTTCCTCAGCCAGCACATTGTGGCTTCACATCATACACGTTTTAAGGGTGGAGACTGAAAACTGAGGCAGAGGAGGAGGTGATGTGGGCACCCTGCTCTTTGCCTTCTTTTGGGATTAATTTATTCTGCATTTGCTAGGATGGCACCCCTGGTTACATTCATTTTCATAACTGAATATGGAGGAAGTTTTTCATGAGGTGTCCATGGTATTTCTTGAGTAAATCAGAATTTATAATCAGATGGTAATGGTTTTATGCCAGAATCAAGTTAGTAGTGTACGTTTTGCTCCTGATTAATTTTCTAAGTTAAAATAAACTCAACTCTGTTTAAAAGTTGTGTTTTTTCCATACATACTGCCATTTGGGAGAAATATTTTTTATTGGTTTCTGTGTTTTTGCAAGGTGACAGTAGAAGAAGGATTGAAAGGACCTCATAAAAGATCCATTGGGAACACATACCCTAACCCACAGTTATGAGCAGCTGAGTCTCAAAAGTTCATGTTCCTAGCTGGGTGCCGGAGGCAGAGATCAAAAGGATTGTGGTTCAGCACCAGCCCCAGGCAAATAGTTCGTGAGACCCTATCTCTGGGGGCAGGGGTGGGGGGAGAAAAACATCACAAGAAAGAAAGAAAGGAGTGGCTCAAGGCATAGGCCCTGAGTACCACAAAAAAAAAAAAAAAAAAAAGTATACATTCCTGCATACTCTGCACACATGGCCCTGGGTGGTAAATCAATAAGTTGAACAACTTTTCCCAAGAAAAACCTTGAGCTTCTCTTCAGCCTAGTGCTAGGTTGACTGTGAAACACCTCTAGAGGCCACACTGACTTCAGACAGGCCCACTCCCTGTCTGTAACTCCCTGGGTGGGCAGAGAACTTCTGAGGTCTGCACCACTGGCCCACAGAACCCAGGACTGCCGACTGTGTCTGTGCCCTTTGTCCTGGGGATGCCTGCTCTGGCTGGGTGCTCCACCCCCTGGCCATGGCTAGCAGGAAGCAGGTATGCATGGGAAGAGGAACATGCAAAGCCAGGAGTAGGATGCTGGGCCACCTGACTGTCCCAAAGGAGGGACAGTCTACCTCTGTAGCTCTCAACTTCCTACCAAATGTAAGATGATCAGCTTAGATTCTAAAGCCTATGGTATGCCAGGGATTTGTCTTTAGTGAGAACAAATGGTGAAATAAGTCAGTGCTTTAAACACATAAAGGTAATACCTGGCAAGCATTTATGGACTGACCATCTACAACACACTCGGCACAAATGACCAGACTTGTGTCTGTGGCATAGCACACCAATGCAAGCATTTAGTTCAGACTTTCCTCCCACTTGACTCTTTTCTGACAAGGGGTTTTTGTTTTTAATTATACACTAAAATAAATTGGGAGTATTATATATGACTACACAAAGGTTTTAAAAAATGGTCACACAGTCCATTTCAGTGCACACTTATCTGCACAGTAAGTGAAAGCGATCTAAGAGAGGCTGAGCTAAGCCCAAAGTCCTGGTCTATGCACCCCATGTGGAGAAAGGCCTTTCCAATTGCAGTAAGGCCTGGCTTCGCTTGTTTTGAAAGATTTTTTTTTTTGCAGAACTGAGGTTTGAACTCAGAACCTCATGCTTGCTAGGCAAGTGCTCTACCACTTGAGCTATGCGCCAACCAGCTTTTTTTTTGGTAGGGTCTTGTGTTTCTGCCCATGGCTGGCCTCAGACTGTAATCCTCCTACCTATGCCTCCCACATAGCTGGGATTACAAGCATGAACCACCCCCAGTTTGTTTGTTGAGCTGGGGTCTCAACAGCTTTTTAGCTGGGACAGTCTTGACCCTGATCCTCCCCTTTCCCACCTCCAGAGGAGCTGGGATTACCATGCCAAGCTATCTTTAGTGTTTAGACAGGCTCCGTCTGCATTACAAAATCATCATTGCAACTGATGCTTGCTCCAGGCAACTTAATTTCATACTTCTCTTTCCCCATGGTATCACTCTTCCATATATTTTTCTGCCCCTTTGAAATTATAATCTGTCAAATGGTCTTGCCAAGATTTTCTGAATTCCTCAGGAATGGAGAAGAAGGTGCTTGCTGACTACCCTTGGCTGATTACTTCTTTCACAACGATTAAATCGGATTTTCACCTTGCTGTTTTTAGTGTTTACTGATCACACATTTTTTTTAACCGATATTCAGCACCTACAGAACTTTTAACTAGGAAGTATCCTGAGCACTTTAAAATGAATAAATATGATTAAATAACAGTGCTGAAGTCTCCCAGCACTACAGAGGCCAGGAGCCAAGCTCATCCTTTATTTCTGAGTTCAGTGACATTTCACTGAATGAAAAGACTATTAAATATACCATGACACAAGCATCAAAGAGTTAATGATTTTAAACTCTAATTGAGAAGGCACAGAGAAAGTGAAGACTCTAAGTGCATTATTTCGGACATCTCAGTGGATGGAACCCTTACCTTTTGATGAGTTTGATAGATCTGAACGCTTCGTCCATATCTCCGACGGTGATGAAGAAGCTGAAATTGAGCATAGCATCCCGGGTAGGCTTGTCACAGTCCTCCAGACCCACAAAGTCTCGTAGGGGTTTCTTGGCCACCATCTGGGGTATATCAGGTTGCCCAGAATCCACTCTTTCTTCTCGCTCTGCTTCTCCAGGCTGGAAGAGAAGGGCCCCATTTGCTTGTCAGTTCATATGTAAAGGTAATGCCTGTACTCAGTCTCCTCTAGATTCAAATCAGTCACAGGAAAATCCACCTGCAGATGGGCACAGGCCAAGTGGTCTCCTTGCAGTCCTGGAAAGCTTTTATGTCACTGATATAAACAGGGTTTTATCACTAGTTTCAGATAACAGGTAAACAAAAGCTGTCCAGGTGTGAACTCATTTCTGAGGCACTAACTCACAAATAGCAGATTCTTCACAGCCAAAACGGTTATTTCTTCTCCCTTCTCCCAGGTATGTTTCATAAACTGTAAAGACTTTTTACCAGCTTTAAGTCAAGTCAGACATGCATACATCACTGTGAGGTCTCTTAAAATTAAGGAACGGGGACTGGGGCTATGGCTCAAATAGTAGAAAGGCTGCCTAGCAAGCGTAAAGCCCCGAGTTCAAACTTTAATATGAAAAAAATCAAACAAATACCCAGCAGCCTGAGTTCAGGGAGAACTTTCCAAAAGGATGGCATGGGTGAGTTTTGTGTCCTCCACTGGTGTTCTCCAGCACAGTCATCATGTAGTACAGCACACGGGACCAGCTCCTCACCTGAGTACCTTTCTATACCCAGTACCTTCCACATGGGCTGCTGAGAGGACCACTGCCCTATCACCATTCCTTCTGCTACTCTTAGTCTTTTCACCTGCTGCTCTGCACCCAGTTCACTCCCTCAAAGGCCAAACCCCTTCTCTCTGAGGACCGTCTCTTACTTGCACATGCACTCCTCTCTATGAAGGCTATCACGACACACCCTCCTTGGGCCAGGCTTCCCCTGCAAGTCTTCCATCTGCTATCTCCTGACTTCTTTTTTTGCAGTACTGGGCTTTGAACTCAGGGCCTCATGCTTGCTAGGCAGGTGCTCTGCTGCTTGAGCCATGCCGCCAGCCCTCTTTTGCTTTAGTTTTCAGGAGGGAGCTTGTGTTTTTGCCTTAAGCTGACCTCAGACTGTGATACTCCTACCTATGCCCTTCCAAGTAGCTGGGATCTCACCAACACTTTGCCCAAGCTAGCCTCAAATCACCATCCTTCTGATCTCCACTTCCTGAGTCGTTGGGATTACAAGTATGAACCACATTCCTGGCATGTTTTGTTTCTTAAGAGAAGGTCTTATTGGCCTTGAACTCACAATCTTCCTGCCTTAGCCTCCCAAGGGCTGGGATTACAGAAGTAAGCCATCTGTAGTGTAATAGCAATTTCAGCCACCTTCCTTAGCTCAGATCTTATGAGCCCTCAGTCTTACTGTTCCTTTTGAGGCTGACCTACTGCCCTGGGGAGGAGACAATACCTGACCTGGGCTTTAAAAGTGGCAGAGCTTGTCAGGCCCCACTGTGGCTGGGAGACCTTTCTAAGCACAGAGCAGGGCATAGCAAAGGCCCTGAATTTATGGTCCACGGATGTGTGTAACTGGGTTACTACAGGCAGGAAGCTGAAGAGTTTGGACTAGGTCTGCACTGAGTGAGAAAGTGTCAGAAAACAATAGGGTTTAATAAATGGCAAAGAAGCAGCCAGACTTCCTATCAATAACACCATAGCTTTGGTATGGGTCTAATGAGAACCCAGTTTGCACACTGGGGAAATCTTTAATTTATTGTGCCTGGCTCTCATTTTGGTTCTTGCATTTGTGAGGCAGGGACTATTTATCTTGTGTCACAACAGATGAGAACCTGCAAGGTCACACAGTACAGTACTAGGGACCAAGAACTGTTGGGACTCTTTCTGACCACCCTTGAATGTGTGGGCACTGGATACCTGGTGGAAAGGAGCTGAGAAATTTGTTTGTAGGCAAACAGAATAAGGGCAGTATTTCTGTATGTATGTATGTATGTATATTTGTTGAGATAGAGTCTCACCTTATGTAGCCCAGGCTGGCTCTAAACTCTTGATCCTCCTGCCTCCATGCCCTCCTTCTCCCCACAGCCCCACCCAGTGCTGGGATTACAGTGTGCACTAATGAGGGCAGCCTTTAAAGAAGCAAAATGCTGTTTGTCTGCTCCTTGCCAGCACTGTACAGGCTGAGCTGATAACTGCCTATATTGCAAATGTAAGTCGAATAAGCATTTCCTGTACACAGATATCAGGGAAAGGGCATCAGATTCAGGCTTTGCTAGGTGACATGGCACCCTGCTCAAACAGTCCCAGCCACCCAGCAAAGCTCCCTACATGGGTGATCAGGTGAGGTGGGAAGTGTCAGTGCACATGCACCACAGCAGAAAACGAAGGAGGAAAAGGGTCTCAGAGAAATGATAAAATCAAAGTGACAAATGATAACCTGGGCTCTGTACTTACGACTGCATCATACACGCCTCCTCTCTGGAACAACAGCTGAGTGTGGGCACGGAAAGGGAGATGAGAATGAGAGACAAAAAGAAAAGATGAATAAAATATAAGGAAAAAGCAAAAAACCACAATGTAAAATGAATGAGGAAAACTCAATAGAAAGAATTGAAAAGATCTTTCCCAAATTTTGAATTGTCAAATCAGAGAGAAATTAAAGCACATAAACAACATAAAATAAGAATGAAACTGAGAAAATTGTTGGTGGTACTAAAATCTATTTTAAACAGGACAACTAAGGAAGCCTGCACTGATAAGAGCAGGGAGCCCCTGAATTTGGCAAATCACATCACTTTCCTGATCTAAACTGCTCCTATGACAACCTCTAATGGTTGTGAAATACTGCTTTACACAGTGACTTGTAATATCAGAGCCTACCATACCCAGACCTACCACTATACATGTGAGTCTGACAGATCCCAGAACCAGAAGCCCCTACACCTGGTCACTTCATTGTCGCAAATCAAAGGGAAGCATCACCTTCCATCCTATGTGCTCTATCCAACTCCTTCAAAAGTGAAACAGAGCTCTAGGAAGAGCCTCAATGGGTCCTATACACCTGTGACTGCCTGGTGGTCCACACGGTACAGTTGTGTTGCTGGCCTACGCAGAGGGGACTGCAATATGTGTTCCCCAATGGTCTACTGTCCCCACCTTTGGCTGCAAAAGTAACAGAGGATAATTGTAGAAAATTAGAAAAGAACACAAGTCTTTTGTTGTTGTTGTTGTTGCAGTACTGGGGCTTGAACTCAGGGCCTACACCTTGAACCACTCTGCCAGCCCTTTTATTGTGTTGGGTTTTTTCGAGATAGGGTCTCACAAACTACTCACCCAGGCTAGCTTCAAACTGTGATCTTCCTGAGTAGCCAGGATTACAGGCATGAGCCACCAGTGCCCGGCCACAACTCATTTTTAAGATCAATTTTACATTGGTCACCTTATGTGAAAATCTAGAAACACTCAGGTAAAAGCTGGTACCATTTAGCCCCTTTTCTGTGACAATGGAAGGGAAATGGTAGGGAGGCTGTCTACATGTTGCAGAAAACAAATGTCCAGCAGGAGGGCAGCTTCCTCTGCCCATGGGATCAAAGCCTGGCAGCAGCTGCTGCAGTCCTCACAGGTTGTCCACAGAGCTTACTAATAGCACCATCCCAGGCTGAAATCCTGAGCCTGTAGGTCCACCAGGCTCCTGGATGAAAAGGGCCTCAAGTTAGGCTGGGGTGTAGTTTAGCACGGCAGAGCACCTCCTAGCATGTGTGAGGCCCTGGGTTCAACCCCCAGCACCAGAATGGACAAATGAACGAATGAATGATAAAATAAAAGCCCTTCAGGCAACTCTGGAGCCCCAGAGCTTGAGAACTGGTGGCTGGTGAAGCAAATGGACAAGACACTCACAGGTGAGCGTGCCTGCCTGGACTCAGGATACTCTTACGGCAGATGCAGATCTGCCGTGCACACTTCAATCTGCACATTGTTTCAGAACCAGAGACTGATTCAGTTTCAGGTCGAGAAGGGACCTTGGAGATGGACTATGTCCCAGGAAAGGTAAAGAACTTGTACAAAACAAACCTGGCTGGGGAATGTGTTTATTTGTGCTGAAAATGACCCAATTCTATCAAAAATTTAAAAACAACTATGAGCATGTGTCTTGTTTACTCATAAATATAGAAACCTCCTGGAAGGAGGCACCAGCTGGCTCACAGTGACCATCTCTGAGCTGGAATTATGGAAATTGTATTATCTCTGGTTTTTGCTTCTTTATTTGTAGTACCTGAATTTCTTACAGTGACTACAGGAATATATAATTAAAAAAAAACTTGGCTGGGGCCATGGTTCAAATTGTAGAGTGCCTATTTAGCAAGCATAAGACCCTGAGCTCAAGCCCCAAGTACTAGTAAAAAAAAAAAAAAAAAAAACCAAAACCAAGCAAAAACCAAAAATACCAGACAGAATAAACAAAGAAAAGACAGAAGAGCTGAAAGTTGTCATGCCTTCAGAAGTCAAGCCAGGAGGGAAGGGTATCAAGTCCTGCCTGAGTCACACCCAGGGATGCTGTTCACCAGCATCACTTCTGTCCATTCTGAAAGCAAAGTCACTGCTAATGTCCCTGAATGCGGGAGACCTCCATATTCCCTGGACTTGAGGTGATACAATTGATGACTTCATGAGAGATGAGCCCAGGAAACCTCAAGGGTTAGCTCACCTGTGTGCCCTGGAGACGCTCAGAACAACCCAGCCAGCCAGAGGGGAGGACAAAAAGTACCTGCACAGATCTCATGGACTCGCACCTTTTTTGTGAAGTAATAATGGGGCACTTCCATCCCCAGAAGGCTCTGGTAGGCAGGAGGCCGGGGGAAGCTGTCATGGAGCAGGAAACCATGCTCTTCAGAAGTGAAGAATGATAGAATCAAAACATCTTCCTGGGAAAGAAAGGACAATATTGTTCTGTTTCTAATTCAGCAATATAATTTTCTATTTTCCTACAAGTTTCTGTTTTCACTGCCAGGACATTTACATAACCCAGAAAACACAGAGAGAAGAACACTGCCCCACAACCCCCCCCCACACAAAGCATCAGGTTTTCCCGAGGCATGTGGTCACCACACCATCACTGGCAGGGCTTCTCAGCCTCTTCTCTGCCCCTTTTTGGAAGAACTGAGGCATCTTCTAGAAGGCTGAGACCAAAAGACCCCCTGAATGACTAATTATTCACACCTGAGTTGATGAAGAACTTCAAAAGAGCTCGTGTGCCAGGTGCTGGTACCTCACACCTGTAATCTTAGCTAGTTGGGAGGCTGAGATCAGGAGGATTGCAGTTTGAGGCCAGCCTGGGCAAACAGTTTGTGAGACTGCATCTCCAAAACAATCAGAGCAAAATGGACTGGAAGTATGGTTCAAGCGGTTTTGCAAGTGTGAAGCCCTGAGTTCAAACCCCAGTCCAATAATAAAAAAACAAAGCTCTTGTGTTTTAAAAGATCTCCCCTTTGGTTTCTTTACTCTGATTTAAAAATTCAACAATGCTAATGATGACAAAAAGGCTCTTCACTCTGCTTTTAAGGAATGGGGAGTGCACAATACAGAACTCAAGTTTCTGTTGGACCTTGTCATCTGAGAATGGAATAAGCAACGCCAGGATTGCCTTCCTGCTTCTGCAGTTGCTTCTAAACAGGAAATAATGAGGTGAAGAGAACACAGAGCCTTTCCTCACTACTGTGGTGTGAACTCTTACAAACACATCATCCTCGAAAAAGACAAAAGGAACTACCTGATCAAATGGCCAGGAAATAAACTTCCATTGACACATTTTCCTCTTCCACTAGTTATCATTTGCTGTTCTCATTGCCCCTGGACTTGTCACCTTGCTGTCTAACTTTAAGAAAATTCCTCCAGCAATTTCTTTGTTTCTTTCATTCCAATGATAGAGAAGCCACAATGATATGTTTTACCACTTAGTGTTTTAGGATCAAGGACAGGATTTGCTTCTGAGAATCTTGGGGCGCTGACAATGACTCTGGATGATCTCAGGGGCATACTCTCACCATATTGGCCTTTGGTATGGATTCCAGTCCTGAAGTTTTAGGACAGGCTGCTCTGTATGCACAGATTTCTCAGGCAGGGGATGAGGTGGGTTATACAGGCACATAGATCGCTGGTCTTTCCAAGGGACATCTGATGTCCCACAAAACGTAAGACTTAGACCATGTCAGAAAGTCCTAGCCCCTGTGAGTGTACAGCTCTAGGGCTTGTGAGTCCTATAGAAGTGGGGAACACTGAGGTGAGGGAAGAGGTGGGGAAGCTCCCTGGTGGGGCTGTGTCTTGTCTGAGGGACTGGAATGTTGAGGAACAGATGAGGGAGCATGGCTCCTGTCTCAGATTTAATTTTGGCACATGCTCACGTGAAGGATTAGTTCATACTGACTGTTTCAATAAGGAGCTCTGCTCTTTTTTTTTTTTTTTTTTTTTTTTTGCAGTACTGGGGCTTGAACTCAGAGCCTACACCTTGAGCCACTCCACCAGCCCTTTTTTGTGATGGGTCTTTTTCAAGATAGGATCTCATGAACTATTTGCCTGGGCTGGTTTTGATCTCTGCCTCCTGAGTAACTAGGATTATAGGCATGAGCCACTGGTGCCTGGCAGAAGCTCTGCTCTTGAAAAAGAATAGCAATAGTTGAGATAAAAGAACCAAGAAAACAACATTCAGAGTCAGACCAGAGGGCGTGGAACAGTCCACCGCGTGAGCCTGAGAAGAGACTCACCCCACACTGTGGCTTTTTTCATGTGGCCCAACATGGGTCTGACCACCGTCAGCCAAGGAAAGAGTCCTAACATGACAGTGATGCTCATTCAGTGGGAAGCATGAGGCAGACACTTTACTCCACATGCATGAATTTTTCCACTAGTTCTCCCATAAGCCATGTCATGCAAACCCTACATCTGGCGAATGGTCACCAGCTGTGTATAAACAGATACAATGCAGGAAAGCAGTAGGTACCGTGTGACGGGTGCTGTCCTCTCCATGGGGCTGCTTGTCTGCAGCCTGCAGCTGGGCTCCTGTTGCCTCTTGCATGGCCTCACACGCAAAAAGCCTGGGTTCACTTTGATCCCAGAAATGGTTCACAGGAATGTAATTCATTAGTCTCTCATCCTCAAAGACATGGCTCCTAAAACAGAAGGGAAGATCTGTCTCTAACCGAGAAGAGCTCACTCAAGAGGGCCTCAGTCACTGTAACTGCCACGGTCTCTCTCTGTACCTCTGCACAGTCGCACATCTTGTCAGAACACTCCTCCAGACTTTAAGGAATTAGATGAAAAGGTCATGGTGACATCTAGTTTGAGGAACACAGGGCATGATGTATGAAGAGGACCCAGAGGTGACCCTGTGTGGCATTGCCCATTTTTACTTTAGTCTCTCTCATCTCTAAAACCCCATGTTTTTTGGCCCAGAACTTGCTTGAGTATTATAGAGAGACAAAAGGAACTGCACGGCAAAGAATGGATAATATCTCAAAGGAAGTCAGATGTAGTGGTACACACCTGTAGTTCCAACTACAGGAGGCTGAGGGAGGGGGTTGCTTGAGCCCAGAAGTTTCGATCCCAGCCTGGGCAACACAATGAGACCCAATCTCAAAAGAAAGAAGCTGCCTGAGGTGAGGGAGACAGTGAGCCGTGCATGCCATCCCCAGAAGAGCCCAGGGTGGAAGGTAGGAATGCTGAGCCCATGGTCTGGGGTTGCTGTGCAGGAGAGCACCAGGTCCTACAGGAAACATGCATCCCTCACTGATGCCACAGCACCAACACTGGAGTTGTGCCTGTGGGCCCTGCCCCACATAAGTTCTGCATGGAATGCAGGGCCAACGTGACAAGCACAGTATTTTGGATGGAGCGTTTATTGACTGCCCACAGGGTACCAGACACAAGTTGGTTTCTTTGAAGTTAGACTGGCCTAGCAAGGGACACAGAATAGACAGAAAGAAGGCTGTCACTTTCAAAAAGAGAAGTCAAGCTGGGTATCAGTAGATTATGCCTGTAATCTGCCTGTAATCCTAGCTACTTGGGAGGCTGAGATCAGGAGGATTGTGTTTCAAGGCCAGCCCAGGCAAATAGTTCAAGAGACCCCCATCTCCAAAAAAAAAAAAAAAAAAAAACAGTGAGAGAGAGAGAAGACAGGAACAACAGGCAGAGAGTTGAGAGAAAAGCATGAATGAAAAGACATTTCACAGCCAGGTGCCAATGGCTCACACCTGTAATCCTAGCTACTCCAGAGGCAGAGACCAGGAGGACCGTGTTTCAAAGCCAGCCCAGGCAAATACTTTCTAGAAGACTCTATCTTGAAAAAACCCATTACAAAAATAGGGCTGGTGGAGTGGCTCAAGGTATAAGCCCCCAGAACAGAAAAGCTAGAGTTTGGTCATGGACAGTCGAGAGGAAAGGTTTGTTCTGAGGTTTTAAACCTGGACGGCAGGTCTGGCAGAGTGACTCAAGTGGTAGAACACCTGTCTAGCAAGGATGAAGCCCTGAGTTCAAACTCCAGTACCACCAAACAAAAACAAAAACAAAAAAAACCCAAGTAAACCTGGATGCGGAGAAAAGTGGTGCCACCGTGAGAACCTGCGCTCTGGGAAATGGGCGACGGCTGTGGCTGACTCACAGGGGCGAGATGCTCAAGCGAATGTGCTCTGAAGTGGGAGGACTGGGGCTTAGTTAGGTGGGAAGGGAAGCCGGGGGTGTTAAACTAGGGCATTAGCAGGAGTGTGAGGGTCTAGAGACAGGACTGATGAGGAAGGTGGGTGGTCAGGATTCAGAGGAGGCTGGGCAAGAGGAGATGTGCCAGGATGGAGGATCTGTTAGAACTAGCAAGAGTGGGGCTGGGAGTCTAACTCAGCAGCAGACATTTCCTAGCATGCACAAGGCTCTGGGTTTGACCCTTAGCACTTTAAGCAATCAAATAAAGAAACAACAAAAAAATTAGCAAAAGTAGCAGAGAAGCACAAAAAAGGACATAAAAAACAAGCCACTGACTCCAACATGCAATTCCTCTGCTGTTCTGTGAGCCACTGATCCAAGTCTAAAGGTTTCCACTTTATGTTTTGCTGTACATACCCTGTGTTTCTGCTTATTTCCTGCCTTACTTACACAGAATTAAATGTGGGTGGTAGTGAAATGCTGTAAGGACCTGAATTCCTATGAACATGTTCTCAGTAGCAGAAGGAACTACTCAGATATGGTACACTAACCCTCTGGGTAAGACAATTATTTTTCCTAGAAATACATTCTCTGCAAAGACAAGGGCCCTCTTTCCTGTTGGAAATGATAATGAGTCTAAGGTTCCCTCCCCCCCCCTCCACCGCCACCGTCTCCCTCAGTCCTGGGACTCTTGGGCTACTGTACAGACACTTCGGTTAGAGTCCTTCCCAAGTTCAAGTTTCCACTTGGCCAATTTTAGAACCTGCACTCTGGAGGACAGAGACCAAAGACTCAAATCTACCTCAACTGCTTAAGTGTGTTTCTGTTTTACTTTTGTTTTTACTACTAGTAACTGTCATGAGATCCCGTGAAGTTTGAAATATTAACTTAGCAACAACCTACCTGGAAGTTGAGAAGTAAGCAAATATTGTCTTCAACAAAATCCACTCAACCACAATCTTACTTGTTAGTCCCTTGTCCACTAAAGGGGAGCATGTCTCTCTGATCAATCTGTCCAGTCTTGAAATCAAAGACAGTCACTGTGTCCATTTCAATGTCGTAGAAGCAGATTTTGGAATCAGGGCTGTTATCAGTCTGGAGAAGAAAAGAAACAAGACAGGTCAGAGAGCAACTTGGGCCAGAACCATGTGGCCTGTGCCCAAGGCCCAACATAGCACGCTTGAGAGAACCACTCCTGCTGTTAGCCACACTGGCTTCCAGGGAGTGTCGTACTTTCAAAATACATAATTCGAACATTAACTTCTCTTTAGCCCACTGAAACAGTTTTTGAGCTTTACTTTGTAAACGCATAGAACTGAAAATGAATGCTAAAACGCTGTGCCCTGCTGCTCTCAGTATCGACCAGAGATGTTTTTGTTTTTTTAGCTAAGGTAGATTTCTAAGGAACCAGAAGGAATCTGGATTCTGATAAAGCAACTCTTACACAGCTGAGTACAAATTAATCAAGTTTTACAAAATGGATGATGGCTGGACACATGTAGGGGCTGGCATACAAGGTGGTGAGTAGAGGCCAGTAGTGGGACCACTGTGATGCTCAGCCACCCTGCGACCCTGGGGAAGAAGGACAATGCCCACTGCTCAGCTCCTGCCAACAAGGGGATCCTGGGAGCTTTCCAAGCTGGTGGTTCCATTTCAAGTTCACAGCAGCACCATTCACAATATCAAGAAAGGGGAGACACCAAGTGTCCACGGATGGATGAACAGATGAACAACATTTGGTGTATTCATACAACAAAACCACAAGAAAATAATGGAAACACTGACAAATTATACAGCATAGATGAACCTTGAAGATGTTATGCTGAATGTGTTAGTCAGTTTTTCATTGCTATAACAAAATATCTGACAGACTATTTAAAGGAAGAAAGATTTATGTTGGCTCACGGTTTCAGCACATCATGACAGGGAGGAGGTGGCAGAGCAGCTTACATCATGGCACCCAGGAAGCAGAGAAAAAGAATGCCCTGTGCTGGAAGGTTCTCTCCTTTTTCCCCTTTAATTCCATCCAGGCCCCCAGTGTGTGGAGTGTTGCTGCCCACAGTGAGGGTGAGCCTTTCCTTCTTAGTCCTCTCTGGAAATGACCTCACAGACACACCCAGAGGTGGGCTTTACTAATCTAGGCATCTCTCCATCTAGCCATGATGACAATCTGAGTGAAAGAAGCCAGACACCAAAAGCCATTTTCTGTGTGATTCCATCTGTATGAGATGTTCAGAACAGGCAAACCAGAGACCATAACAGACTCATGGCTGCCAGGAGCTGAGGCAATGGGGGAATGGGGAGTGACTGCTTAATGTGTATGACATTTTCCTTTGGGATAATGAAGATGTTTTGGAACTAGGTAGAGGGGATGGGTGCATAACACTGTGAATGTACTAAGATCCACTGTTTTCTCACTTTGTTATGTGAACATCACCTCAACTTTTTTTTTTTTTTTATTTTTAAGTGCTGGGCTTTGAACTCAGGGCTGGCCTACACCTTGAGCCACCCCATCAGCCCTTTTTCGTGAAAGGTTTTTCGAGATAGGGTCTCATGAACTACTTGCCCAGGCTGGCTTCGAACCATGATCCTCCTCTGCCTCCTAAGTAGCTAGGATTACAGATGTGAGCCACTGTGCCTGGCTTCCTCAACTTTTTTAAGACCCTGCTTTTTTTTTTGGCAGTACTGGGGTTTGAACTCAGGACCTCATGCTTGCTCTACCAGCCCTTGAGATCCTATTTTAAGAAAAAGATACTTTAGCATTCCCAAAGGTCTCCTTGGTCTGCAATAGCTGAGGAAAATGTCTCATCACAGGGGAAGAAGGTGGGAAGGTGCTGACCCACCCCCAGGCAGCAGCACCGACAGGGAAAGCAGGACGTCCTGGGTTCTCCGCACCTGTGTGCTGCCCTTCGTGCTGCCAGTACTTGGAGCCAGGGGAAGCAACAGAAAATAAGTCGATCCTGGTTTCCACTCCAGATTCTGCTTTAGCCTCCTGGGAGGCCTGGCCTCAGGCAGTTGCAGAGTTGCTCCAATGATGTTGGCTGAGGAGCTACCCTGCCTCCACTTCTTGATGACGTATCATGATTTCTGAGGCTGTCCTCTTCCTGGAACGCTTTCCCTGAGTGCTCATGGTTTCAGATTCTCCCCTGCCCTTACTCAGTGGGTTCTCTTCCACCTGGCCTCACAATGATGCCTGTGTGACCTTACTCTGCCTCCATTTCTTGCCCTTCCGATCTTTTATTGTCCTTCACCACCATTGTGGATCTGTCCCCTTCTTTCTCCCCCATCCCAGCTGAGCTGACACTAAGGCAGGACTATAAGAACAAACCTTGGCTGAAGTATTTACTGGAGTGGTGCTGGATGAGGAACTTGTATCATAATCGTCACTATAAAATCAGGGAAGTGGTAGATGCAAAATGTAACTGATAATGATGTCACCACTGTCCCTGTAGATCACTGCTTCTTACCGCCTTCTTTTTGATCTGTGCAGAAGAAAGGTATGGTGGGCTCCAACTCCCTACCCTTCACCCCTTCTTCTGTGCCCACCAGTATCTTGCAGCATCATTCTCAGACACAGCTCCTACCAGGTGACAGAATTCAGATGCCAGGTCTGGGTTTCCCATACCCATAAAGCAGTTCTAGGGAACACATGTTCAGAACTTAAGGAGACTCTGGGAAATTTTACCCTAGCAGACCCTGGAATGGCAAATGGGATGTGAGATCTTTAAAAAATAAAGGCAAGAGAGAGAAAGAGAGAGAGAGAGAAAGACAGAATTTGCCAAGAGTTTGGACAAAAGATACCATAGGCCTAAAAGTCCTCATGACTACAAAGGGGAATCATTAAGAGGTTTTTTTTTTTTTTTTTTTTGGTGGGGTAGGGTGGGACTGGGGTTTGCATGCTTGCAAAGCAAGCATTCTACTGCTTGAGCCACATCTCCAAGTCCATTTTGCTCTGGCTATTTTTGGAGATGGGGTCTTGTGAACTATTTGCCTGGGTTGTCCTCAAACTATGAGTCTCCTAATCTCAGCCTCCCAAGTAGTTAGGATTATAGGCATGAGCCACAGGTGCCCAGCTAGACTTTTTTTTTTTTTTTTTTGAGATGTGGTCTCACCATGTAGCCTAGATTGACCTCTAACTCAGTCTTCTGCCTCAGCCTCTGAGTGCTGGGATTACAGACATATACCACTATGTCATCTTATCAACAGGTTTGATTACATAAACACATCAGCTTTCTTTGGTAGTACTGGGGGATTACACTCCAGTCCTCGAGCTTGCTAGGCAAGCCTACTACCACCTAAGCCACACCCTCAATTCTTTTGCTTTTTGTTCATTTCCAGATAGGGCCTTAATACTTTTTGTGTGATCTTCCTTCCTCCACTTCCTGAGTAGCTGGGATTATAGGTGTGCACCATCACACTTAGCCAAAACATCAGCTTTCTGATATCTTTACAAATGGCATGAACAAAATGAAGAGCAAACAAAAACCAAGGGAAGGACCTGCAGCAAATAGGACAAGCTAAGAGTTCCCTGTTCAACACTTATGCTCCATGCCACAGAGCCTGATGCAGCCTGGGCTCTCCTGGTTCAGGTGTGCCCATCATGTTCTCTCCTGGACTACAGAGGACAAGCATTACTCATGACACAAGGACGGCAGGGCTGCTCTTACTCTATACCCTCTTTCTCCTGCCTCCTAGAACCTTCACACCTTCCCTTCTGCACCTTCCCAGCAGTGTTAACCTCCCTTGGCCTCTACTTGCAGCCTTGCTTCTGTTTCTTTGGAACACCAGTCTCTGTGCACTGTCCCCACTTGCATTCATTCCTTGCCACAGGCCTCCCTGGACCCACAAGCATGTCCAGTACCACTAGCATGGTGCACACAGTCCCTGGCCTCTTCTTGTTTCTGTGCACACTCATCTGTACCACAAAGATGCTGAGGGGATGATGGGAACTGTCCACCTCCTCTGCGCCCCAAGCTGCCCCCTTATCCTTAACAGCCTCCACCTCCCTGGCTGCACCTGCTTGCTTGGCTTCCTCAGGGCCCAGCTGGGTTCTTGGGGCTGGCAGCAGACACCTCTTTTCCTCCTGAAGCATCTGCCTCAGGGACATCCCCATGCTCATCCCTTTATCTCCACCTCCAGCCAGTCCTGTCTTCAAGATCCAGGCTTGGTATCAGTAGATATGGAAGTGCCCACTTTCTTACCTGCACTCAATTCAACATGTCCACCTCCATTAATACCCCCATCCCCTTACCTGAGCCCAATTTAACATGCACACCTCCTTTCCTCCCCCAGATGCTGTAAGGGTTAGAAACAGGGAAGACATCTATATAGCTCCTGTCCCTCCAAGCAGGACAGTCAATCACCAAGCCCAGAGGCTGCCACTCCCACCACATGGCCAGTTCTCTCAAGGTGGTCACAACAGCTCAAGGGGAGCTCTGTGCATACCTTGCCCTGGCAAGTTCATTTAGAAACAACTCTACAAAGAAAATATTGACATTATGCACCTTGCCTCAGTGCTAAGTCACACCAAGGTCAAAATCCACCTCCCAATCATGCCAGCCTCATCCTTCCTTTCCATCACTGAGACATGCCAGTGCTGAGGCCAGGCCCTGCCCACCATGTCCTCACTTCTAATTCCTGCCTCTTGTCTCAGCTCCACGGTCACCCCCTCAGGGCGCTCCCCATCCACCCAGATGGCACAACTCTCACTGCCATATGCTTTCCTGGCAGGGTATACTCCCCTTCACAGATCTCCTCTCAAGCTATGGGAAGTGCCTCACTGGCTGCCTGGGGATTGGTACCTGCTCACCATAGAAGCGGCCCCATCCTACTATGTAACTGATCACCTTGTATCTGTGTGGCCCACTAAAGGGCACCAGCAATCATCCTTTGAATGAATAACAATGGTGGGCGCAAGCAACAGAGCAACGCCAGGTTAGGGCCGCCACGACGCCCACCCCCTTCCTCTCTGGCCCTCTTTGCATGGCTGCCAAGGGCCTCCTTCACCCACATCCTACTTCTCTCAGCAAGAAGTTTCAAGGATTCTGCAACAGTCCCTTCTTGTGACAGAGAGTTCAGTTGGGTGATGAAGAACATGGAAGAGAGAAGGGGAGAGGGGCTCTCTGAGGAAGAACAACTTTTTCTGATGAGTTAAGAAACAAAAAATGGCAAGACAGAAGGTGTGCAGGTGGGAGTGCGGAGTGAGCATGGGAAGTACGTGAACACAGAAGCACACATGCCAAGGTCCTGGAGAGGGCTGACCTTGGACACAAATACCCACCCAGGAGAGGAGCAGAAGGTGCCAGGCAGGCGGGCACAGCCAGTGCAAGCAGAGGTGGCCCCCCCGCCCCCGAGAGCCCTGGCCATAGCAGCAGGCCTCACCTTACTGAGCAGGATGCTGATCTTGTTTCCACTGGCATTGCATCTGAGAGAAGTGATGGCCCCCACCCCGGGGACCAGCTCCGCCAGGTTCTTGCAGCTGCAGTGCACCTTTGCCTCTCTGTGGGAGCAGAGGAGGAGGATCTCAGTCCAGGCAGAGGTCTCTTTTTGATACCTATCTGCCACCCACTGTCTTTGGGAAGGTCACAGACAGGACCCATACCTAACTAATGTCCAAGAACAGGTCACAGAAAGGACTTGTTTTGACTGCTGAGATCTCAGCTCACAAGTTCTGCTCGGCACTTTGCTACTTTTCACCCTCGTGTCACGTGTACACAAGAACAGGCCGGACTCAGGACACATGTGGGCTGTTAAGCCTCATGTGTTGTCCTGAGCAAATGTAAACATGCATTCTTAATGTCCTCCTCTTCTCACATAGAAAGCAGCTCTGTGCCTCGTGTCTCCCCTTTGCGCCATGCCTTGGTAGCCTTTCATGGAGGGATGGGGATGGCTCCTTCACCTTTCTTATGGTTGCAATTTTCATCCTGGGCATAACCAGCCCCTTGCCAGTGACCGCCAGCTGTTTCTGGCTTGCTGCCAACACTGTCAGTACTTAGTATGTGGTGTAGCTCCTGCCTTTATACTTTATTCACATTTCCTTTATTTCCCATCTTTTCTTTCTCTTTTGGTCCTAGATGTCCACATGGCATTTACTCATCTCATCTCCATAGCCTCCTTTGAGCTGTGACAGTTTCTCAGACTTGCCTGGTTTTTAACAACTCTGACAGTTTTGAGTTTTGTTCAGGAATGGAGTAGGATGCCCCTTCATTAGGATTTATGTGATGACATTCTCATTACTGGAGTGGGGTTCTGAGATTCTGGGAGGAAGACCACAAGAGCTGAGGTGCTCTCTCACCACATCAAGGACACATGCCCTCTGTGGATATCAACCTTGCTCACCTGGCAGAGGAAGAGAGTGTCAGGTTTCCCCACTGCAAAGTGAATCCCTTCTATCCCTCAACCCTGGGTGTGCTTGTTGCCACTGGGGCGTAGCGGTTTCCAGGCCCAATCCGCTGGCAGTCTGGAAACACACGTGTGTGAATGAGGGTTTGGACACATATCTGTGATGCTTTGTGTAGCAAGCCAACCATATCTATATTAAGTAAAACATGGTTTTTGCTATTAAGGACCTCAACTACTTCTAAGTCATTATTTCATGGTTCATTCTGGCTTCCTCTTCTTGTTCATTTGTGACCTCCCTCTCTGACAGAGAGAAACTTGGCTCTGTTGTCTGCCATCTACTTACTGAGGGGTTTAGTTCCATCACATATGTGTAACAGCATCAGACTTGGTCTGCACCCTGCAGGAGACACTTTTCTCAGCCAGATAGCAATGCTTCTATGCAGTTCCTTCTGCTCTCAGTGCCAGAGTCTCTGCTACGTCCAGAGTCATCCAGGGCAGCAGCTCCCCTCTGCCTTCCCTGAGCTTGTTTCATACCTCTCAATATAGTTGGATTGTTTTATCACCTTTTGCATCTCACCCTGGGATCCCCCAATGTTCTACATGATTTGGGGATTTTTTTTTTTTTTTCATGTATAAGGTTCATACTTTGTGTGTAAAGTCTTACTGGCTTTGATGAATACAGTGTCATGTTCTCATCATACAGAAATGCTGTGCCCAACAAGTGTTCCCAAGCTTCACCCTCCTCTACCCTGTGCCACCCTCATAACAAGGCTAAGAACTCAGGCCCAGACCTGAGGCATATCAAAAAAATGAGATGGGAGGGCTGGAGGAGTGGCTTAATCAGTAAGGAGTGTCTGCTTAACAAGCATGAGGCCCTGAGTTCAAACCCCAGTACTGCCAAAAAAAAAAAGAAGCAGATGCATATGAATGTCGAGATGAGATGAGACCCAGTGGAGATTTCTGACATCAATCCCATTTTCACCCACCACATTGTCTCCTAATTTAAAAAATGTAATACTTCTATTCAAACAAAAACTGTACCTTCGGGAAAGATCAAAGCTTTTAAAGTGAGCTAAGTCTGTCCCTACAACCAGGAAAGTTCCACAGATGTCCAGGAAGCAGGGGCTCCCCTCAGTCTCGGAGAACAGTAGGAGTTGTTTGATAGTCCCCTGAAGAAAAAAGAATAAGAATCTTAGGAAGGCAGCTTCCATGGCGCTCCGTTTCTTTTACTGAGCACTGTTCATGGTTACCTCATGCACCCCACTAGGGCAGAGAGAATAGGATTACTGCTGGTGAGGAGGCAGGCATGTACTCTGAGGGCAGGCAAGTGAGGCCACACTGGAGCACTACTGTGGGCAAGGAGGCAGCTACTTGTACAGCACCCAGGAAACTGAGGATGGGGGTGTGGGGGGAAAAGAGGGAGTTTCATAAATGCATGTGGAATAAGTGAATGGCTCCTTGAACACAGCATAAAAAAGAAAGAAGAGGGAAATGACTCATCTGACTGGGTCAAGGCCAACACCAGGAATAACAGCGCAAGAGGACGCTGGGCAAGGTTGTCCTCTGCCACCTCCTCACGAGCTGGGTCCCAGAGTTCAAATCTGACCTTACATCTGCCCAGCTACTGACCTCCAGAACCTGTCTCTAGCCATATTTTGGACTTCTCTAAAGGTGTCCCCAGGTACAAGGTCACCCACACCTGCTCTGCTTCTGCAGTTTCCACACACAGGCACCACAGCAAGCCTGATCTCCCAGGCTAGAAATGGAGAACATCCCATTCTTCCATCTGTGCAGCGCCTCCTTACTCATGCCCACTACCGGAGACCAGGCCCTCAGAGTCTCACACATCTCCTGAGACTCCACCATTCTTCACCAACTACCCAGTCTCCCTACTACATTGGTACAGAAATTATATTATAAGGAAAACCAACACAAAACCAAGAAAAAACCAAATCAAAATGCACTCCATTCCTCCTGGCATCAGCCCCAACCATCTTCAGGGTAAGGTCCTTTCACTGTTATCCCTGAGCCTCCCGCCTCACATCCTCACACCAGGGTTCCCATCTGTGGTAGCTGGTCAGTACAAAGGGAACCTTTAGACACCCATGCAACACTGCCTCACTGTGACCAAACACTGTAATGATGCAGAGACTCAGAAGGGCAGTGTCTGGAGTCACTTCATCCCTGACACAGACATTGAAAGGGCCACACTGGCCACTTCCTGAAGAAAAAAGGTCTGGAAGGACATGCAGGTGTTCAATGATCACTACTGAGAGAGAGCACTAGCTTTTCTTCACTGCCCACAACCCACACACATGCCTCTATAATTTAAAAAATTGACAGGCTGGGGATGTTAGTGTAGAGTACATATCTAGTATGCCTGAGGCCTTGGATTCAGTCCTCCGCACTGCCAAAAAATAAGTAAATAAATAAAGACAAACAAAAAGGACCCGACTCCATGCCAGGTATTGTCAGACGCCTGCCTAGGCCTTACATATGGGTTTCTCAGTCCCCTTTACATCACTGAGCAGGCTGTTCAACCTTTCCTGCATAGTCTTACCTCTGCAGGTCATTTCTTTGCTATCTCATAATACAGCTCTTCTTTATCTTTCCTTCAGAACACAGTCCCTTTACCTCATCTCTGCATCCACACAGATGCTTATTCACTACTGCAGAAGACAGAGTGCAAATGTAAAAGGACAGGGGAGACATAGATAGGAAGAAAGGCACCTTGCTTTGGGCATGGGTTGCCTGACAGGCCCTGGCCTCCTTCCTTTCACCCCTCTGGATATAAGAAACACATGACACAAGTGCCTCTGTCCCTCCTCCTCAGAAGGGTACAGGGACAACATGACTCCTCTCCCATATTGTCTCTCCACAAGTCAGTCACCCACCCCACTTCTCTTTGCTTCCTCACTTTCGTTTCTCTTTGGCACTTATCACTGTTCTATCTACTGTCTGACCATTAACCATATGAAAGCTCCATGAGAGAGGTCTGGATGAGCAGCATAAGAGGTGCAAGGTCATGGCCATGACAGACCCTGGGTTCCAGAGAAAAGCTGGGCGCTAGATAAAAATCACATCAATATGAGGGGAGAGGGGACAAAGAGAATGATGGAGTTGAATGAATTCAACTATGATATATTCTAAGAATTTTTGTTAGTGTCATAATATACCCCCAGTACAGCAATGACATGACTAAAAAATATGAAAAATGAAAAAATCACACCAATAGCTAAAACCAGCCGTGACAAATGCTCTTGATCTTATCATAGAATGTTGCTGCATATTGTGAGCTGAACTGTGGCCTTCAAAAAATATCTCTGCTTGAAACCTGTAAACATGACATTATTTGGTAAAAGGGTCTTTGCAAAGGTTTTTGGAAGGAGATCATTCTGACTTACAGAAGCCCTAAATCCAATGACAAGTGTTTATTTTTTCACGTTGGAGATGGAACCCAGGACCTCATGTGTGCTAAACTACCACTGAGCTGCACCCCAGTAAAAGTGTTTTTATGAGACATAAAAAACAGAGATGTCATGTGAAGACAGGACAGAGTTGAGGGAGGGCTCCAGAGTTGAGGGAGGTCTCTGTGAGCCAAGGACACCAAGGATTGCCAGCACCACCAGTGCCTGGGAGCCAGGAGAGGTAGGAATGTTCCCATGCAGAGGCTCCTGAAGGAATGAGGCCTGAGGACACCTGGATTCAGACTATGGTCTCCAGACTATGAGAAAATAGATTTCTGTTGTCTCAAGTCACTGCATTTGTGGTGATTTGTCATAGTAGCCACAAAGATAACATCGTGGCAGCCTGGATTCTAGCAAGTTAAGTGTGGGATGCTGTCTGCTCCACACTGCAGACAGAAACAGAAGGCATGCTTAAAGGCCTGTCCTCATAGAGGCAAGCACTGCTCCCATCCTGGCCTCACCCTCAAGCATATGTAAGGCACAGCCGGTCCAGAGACATTATGTCCTGAACTGATGGCCATTCAGCCTCCAGGACACACATTAAATCCAGCAAGCATTTGCTACAATTTCATAGCCCTGTGTATTCCAGGTCTTTTTCACTGCAAAAGGCCCTGGTCATTCCAATTTCAGAGGTCACAAACAGCCATAGAGGAAATCTGATCTAGCTAGGTGAAACCAACAAAAGGCTGTGACTTTTGACTCAATTTAGATAGCACCTGAAACTCTGCTCCAGTCTCTTCATCATCACAGTCCACACACTGCACAGCAGCCACTTACCTGCCAGGTCCGAACTTGAACTCGGTTTGGCTCCACTGTATAAATGTTTTCCTCATACATGGCTAACACAGGGGACTCACACAGGAAGGTCCCTGAAATGAAAGATGTCCATCAAAACAGAAGCAGCTTATCATTCCAGACTTCCAGAATTGAAAAAGCATCATCTGTGGAATCTCTAATCATCTCAGCCCTTTGAATGGCTCTATGAGGGTGTGGTACCTGAATCTTGTAAATGAGTTTCTAGAATGAGGTTCCAGAATAGAAAAGAAGCTAGGCACTGGTGGCTCACGCCTGTAATCCTAGCTACTTGGAAGGCTGAGATCAGAAAGACTGCAGTTCAAGGCCAGCCTGGGCAAATAGTTCATGAGACCCTATCTTGAAAATACCCAACAGAAAAAAGGGCTGGCAGAGTGGCTCAAGTGGTAGAGGGTCTGCCTAGTAAGTAAGTGTGATGGCCCTGAGTTCAAACCCCAGTACCACCAAACAAAACAAAAAGAATAGAAAAGAAAAAAGGAAACACAAAAACATAGAGCAAAAGACTGAAAAACAAACAGAAAGTAATTCTAGCAATTGGGAGGCTGAGGCAGGAGGATTGAGGATTCTGGGCTACATGTGAGTTCAAGGCCAGCCTGAGCTATAGAGAGACTACTGTCTCAGTAAAAGAAGCAAAAAGAAGATGAGGAGGAGGAACAAAGAAACAAAGGGAGGAAGGGGAAGAGGAAGAAAAAAGAAAGGAGGAAACTCTGAGCCCAGGAAGTGTACTGACTCTTGTGGGCACTAGACCTACACTAGGGACTCAGTGGAACTCCCACCTACCCTCACCCTCATTTCTCCCATCTGGTGGCTGGTGCTAGCACAGCTGGTTTTGTTCTGAGGAATATTGGAGGCAGGAGATGATGATGCACACAAAACAGAACATCTCAGCACCTGCTGTGCTGGTCCTATGCAGGACCCTTGGGACTCACACAGAAGAGGGAGATGGTGTATGAATTATCATATGATACAGTCAGAGTGTGCAAATGTTATCAGAGAACTTTAGACAACAAAGTGTTAGGACAGAAAAGTGGAGTGGAAAAGATTTGAAGGAGCATAGGTGATGGACAGTGGAAGGAGTGACTGCCCTCGAGACAACACAATGAGTTAAGAGAGCACAGGGGTCAGGAGGTTGAAGGTGTAGCAGGCCAGTCTCACGCCTATAATCCTAGCTACTCAGCAGGCAGAGATCAGGAGGATCGTGGTTTGAAGCCAGCCTAGGCAAATAGTTCAAGAGACCCTATCTTGAAAAAACCCATCACAAAAAGGGGCTGGTGGAGTGGCTTTAGGTATAGGCCCTGAGTTCAAGCCCCAGCACTGAAAAAAAAAGTGGTGTAGCTGAGGGAGCACCTAATGGCTGGGGATTGTGATAGGTTGTAAAAGTTCCCCAAAGATACTTACTCCTAATCTCCGGGGCCTGTGAATATTGCCATATGTGGCAATAGATAGTAAGGTTTTGAGATGGGGAAATTATCCTGGATTGGCCCTAAATGCAATGACAGTATCCCTGTGAAAGGGGGATAGGTTTCAGATGGGGTCAATGTGACCACAAGCCAAGGACTGAGGCAGCTACTGGAAGCTAGAGAAAGCAAGGAACAGATTCTCCCCTTGAGGATATAAGGAAGTGGGCCCTGCTGACATTTTAATTTTTTGACTTCTGGTCTCCAGAACTTCTAGAGAATAAGTTTCTGCTGTTTTAAACCACTGAGTGATAACTCGTTATAGTAACCCCAGGAAACTCTTACAGGCATGTGCTGAAAAAAAGTGAAGGATAAAGTGGCCAAATTAAACAGAGAAAGGGGGAACAATCAGTGGGATATAGAGATTGAATTTGAGATTGACAGGGTGTCTCTGAAGATTCACTCAGAGACATTCGGGGGTGAACCATGGGGGTTCGCCACTATGCTTGACCTAGACACATTTGAGGGCAGTGACCTCCTCTGGAAGGAACTTCATTGCTCATGCTCATGCAGCCTTATTGCTGAGTCATTTAGGAGTCCAGGAGCCCAGGAGGTTTGCTGGCCCTGGTATCATTGCACTTTCAACTGTCTTGTCTGGCTTCCATAGGATGTAGCTTAGGAGGCCCTGGCAGCATGGACCAGAGCTGCAGCTCTGGTTCTGGAAATGCAGACTTGGGCAAGAGAACTTACACGAGGGTTTCCCTAGTCCTGTGCTAGTCCCCCTCGCTGTGCTCCCTCATTAAATGGTGAGACAATGGAAGGGATATGCAGCCTCTCTGTGGTTGTGAAGAGAATCTCACCTGCATTCCGTAAGGTGGTTCCAGAAGGCTCAAAGATGGCCACCTGTTTTCCATTCCACACAGCCACAGCATCCTAAACAAACAAGATGTACAAAAGCAAAAGTCAGGAAGAGTGAGATGTAGACCGTAGACCACCACACACTCCCAAAACCCTTCCTCCTCCTCTTCCATTGCTGAGTGTGGACATGCCTCAGTCTAGCATCCTCCACAGACGCAGGTTTACGCTGGTTTTCATGTTATGTGAAACACCCTTGGGTTTTTATTATTTCCTTTGTGAATATAAAACACATGGAGATTTAAGAAGATAATCCAGGATGGAAGTGAAGGTGGCTCAAGCCACTATCTGGGCCCCTCACTGTCCTGAATTACCCCAACAACTGAGCAGGTCTTTCATCTGCCCCTGTAGGGCGCCTCTGGCAGTCACCTTGGCAGCAAACACTCCAGTGATGTGCATGTCTGTGCGCAGGCTGTGCGTTCCCCCCGTGGACAGGAAGGACACATTGAGTAAGCTTGGGGAAATTTGCACGGCAGCCACCTGCTGGTGGAAGTGCGACGACATGGTCTGCTCACTAAGGATTGACACGGAGCTGATACTGCTCACTGCCAGAAGGTTCTTCCTGGAGCCCCACTTCAGTCCCATGTGGAGAGAAAAAAAAAAATACATGTGTGAGCAAAGCAGAAGACTGACACTGTCAGAGGAACACATAAATGTTCCATACAAGGATCCATAAACCATCTTTCAAGCACCATTTCTTATTATTTAAAAAAGATGCCAGGGTATGGCTCAAGTGGTAGAGCGCCTGCCTGGTAAGCATGAGACTGTGAGTTCAAATCCCAGTAGTGCCAAAAACAAAAAAATACAACAATTTAAAAACTTTTTTGCAAAGGTAAAATATGTGCTTTGTAGAAAAATTTTACAATACTGATACACTGAGCTGTGAATCAGCAGGTAGACACCTGTATGACTATTCAAGCCAGGGTCTATTCTGACTAATGGGTGTCTTCTAGAAATTTGCTTTTCTATGACATTTCATATTATTTTCTGTGAATTGATGGGTCGTTTATACCACTAAGTTATCTAGCTTTCCTCTGATAGTATGAAATGCCAGTTTTCTAGCTTCAGATTAAACTTTAAAGTCTATGTAAAATATGAAGTTTTCGATAAAAAATTAAGAGCCATGCATGAGCAGAATATGGCCTATACACAGGGGGGTGAAAAAGCAGGCACTAGAAACTGCCATGAATCCAGATTTTAGACTTGGCAGACTTCAAAGAACCTGGTACAACTATGTTCATTACTATATGTCATGCTTAATGGCTTGATCTCATATAGAGAGCATTAATAAAGATGGAAATTATAAAAACCCAAATGACCATGAGAAATGAAGCACGTCTGCATTAAAAACTTGTCCACAAACATTCACAGCAGAATCATTCATAACGGCTCCAAAGTGGAAACAACCTGAATGTGCATCAATTAATGAGTAAACTGTGGTCTACCCATACAATGGGTTACTCAGTCACAAAGAGGAAGGAAGCACTGACACCTGCCACAACATGGAGGAACTGGAAAGCATGATGCTCTGTGAGAGAAGACAGACACAAAGACCATATATTAAATGATTCCATCTTCATGAAATGTCTAGAACAGGTAAATTCATAGAGACAGAAAGTAGACAACTAGTTGCCCAGGGCTGGAAGATGGGCTATCAGGAAGGGAGTATGCTCAAAATGTTCTAAGATTCATTGTGAAGAGAAAAATTTATTGTAGTGATGGCTGCAGAATTCTGTGAATAATACTAAAAAAACATTTGGTAGGTGAATAATATTGTAGAAACAGAGACAGAAAGCAGAAAGTTGGATGGATGGATGGATGGATGAATAGATAGACAGGTAGATATTAATACAAGTCCCAAATCTCTTATCTGTAATTCTGAAGTTCAAAAGATCTTTACATTTTATTTATTGGTTGATTAAGACAGGGTCTGCTAGTAGCCCAGGGTGGCCTTGAACTCAAGATCCTCATGTCCAGTGGCTCACACTGTCAAGCTGGAAAAGGCAAAAGCTAAAGAGCTGGCTAGAAAACTGGGTTAAATGTGCAATGTTGTGTTCTCTGTACATGAAGATAATAAAAACTATTCTCCTATAGTAAAAAAAAAAATCAACCTCCAGAGTGCTGGGATTATAGGCACGTCCACCCCCATGCCTGGCCACCATGTCCAGTCTTAAAATTTTTTCATTATTGTTATTTTTATATAGTCTTCAGTCAACTAATTGATAAGAATAGGTTCAAAACTAATTATTTCCTCCATCTTGTGCAGAAGAGCTCATCAAAGACCCCTGCAAAGCTGAACCTTTATTTGTGTGATGTTTCCTTCGAGCTCCGTAGGCGTTTGAAGGGCCCACATGTCCTTGCCCTCCACCCCTCGGCTGCCTGAGGAGCCTGGCACTTTTCTCCACATGGCTACTCGCCCTTTATTGGTACCAGCTGCCAGAAGACCTATGGGGAAAACAAAGTGTGCACGTTAATTGGGTCGAAAAGAGGATTTAAAAGGGAGTGGTGGAGGCTGTTCTCTTTTGTCCCACCTTACCCAGAGCTGCACTGGTGCTGAGCATCACTGGGCTCCTTTTGTCCTTGGGTCTGTCTACATGCGCGTGCACACACACTCACACACAGAGGGAACAGGCATCAATGTCCTTACAGTTTATCACTCTTCTGACCAAACCCTTTGACTAACATGTGGAATAACAAAGCTTTATTGCCACTTGCTCATCCTTGGATAACTATACTTAAATAACTGATATTGTAACTCATTTAACATGTGTTGAATAGGCCCTTTATTTCACTATTAGTTTGCAGCCTGAACACATTGCTTGAAATTGGTTCTATTTCTTTCACATCAGGTCAAATCTCACCTTTGACTTTACAGTAACAAACACAGTTGATGTTTTCTCCTTTTTCAAAGCCAAACTTCTCCTCTGGACTCAGTATGTAATTCTCTCCTCGTTCCAAGTCCCAGAATCTGCAATGGCAGGAAGAAAGCTCCAATTGAGAGCTGTTAGTGCCTCTCCCCTGCTCCGAGGGCTGTGTTGAACCTGTGCAACAAACTTAAGACCAGGCAAGAGACATGCTCTTCAGACTTCTGACATAAAGAAAATTGATTTTTTTTTTTTGTGGTACCAGGGCTTGAATTCAGGGCCTTCACCTTAAGCCACTTCACCAGCCCTGTTTTTATGATTTTTTTTTCTTTTTTGCTATAGGGTCTCACGAACTATTTGCCCAGGCTAGCTTCAAACTCTGATCCTCCTGACCTCTGCCTCCTGAGTAGCTAGGATTACAGGCATGAGCCACCGGCGCCCAGTGAAAAAAGTTGATTTTATGTTTAGGGCTATTTATGCTCTGTTTATAATCAAAGAGAGCAGTTCACAAATGACATTAGGTCATGATGAAAACACAAGAATCCCAGCAAAATGAGAAGGCCCCTGAACACAAGAAGCCAAAGGAGACCAAATGTCTGATTCTATTTATGCCAAACTCAGAAAGCAAGCCACAGGAGGGTTTCATAGCACACACCTATAGTCCCAGCTCCCCAGGAGGCTGAGGCAGGAGCACTGCTTAAACCCAGGAGCTGGAGACTGCATCTCAAAACCCTCAAAACAAGCTCCCCTCAAAACAGGCAAAGTGATTCAAGAGGCAGACACCAGGGTCACATTATCTGTGGGGTGGGGACCAGAATCAGTTGGGCCTCCTGGGGTCTCTCATGCCTTGTTTCTCCTCTGAGAGAGAACCGGTTAATGTCTAAAGTGTAAATCTAACGTGTGGAAATTCACCATAATGTGTGCATTTTCTGTGTATGTTACAGTCCAACAGAAAGCCCACTTCAAAGAGAATTGTCCAGGAGCATGCACTTGAAGGACAAGCTCTCACCTGAGGACTGCTTCCCCAAGGGCTGTCACAAGAAGGCTGCCCTCAATCAAAGCGATTTCCGCCTGGCAGCTGGCTTTCCCACTCAGCTTCACCTGTGTAAGGAAAAAAGCCACCTAAAAGAAGCACCTGGATCCTGCTGAGATGCCTGCTCCAGGTTTTGTGAGCCTGGAATCTGGTCTCCTGTGATGTCATGGAGACTCACCAAGTGGAGGAAACAGAGGGGGTGTGTGGGGGGAATGATGGAAATGGAGAGGTTTTGGTTTTGAAGATGTGTAAGTTAAAGCAAACAGTGACTTGCACGTGAAGTGATGGCCACCTAGTATATGGTACATGGCAGGCTTTGTTTTTTTTTCTGGTGGCACCGGAGGTTGAACTGAGGTCCTCGTACTTGCCAGACAGGTGCTCTACACTTGAGCCACTCTGCCAGCCCTTTTTTGTGTTGGTTATTTTTGAGATAGGGTCTTGTTTTATCCCAGTGCCAGTCAGGAATACTATATCCCTGTCTCTGCCTCACAAGTAGCTGGGATTACAGACATAAGCCACCATGCCCTCTGGACTGTGGTGTTATAAGACAGAAGAGAACTCATACTCACCCTTATCCTCATGCTCTCTCTTTCCCTCTCTACTATGTCTGCCTCCCTGAGAGGGAGCAAACCCTGAGAGGGTTTGCTGTTTGCAAGCCAGGAAGAAAGTCCTTACCAGGAACTGAATTGGCTACAGCCCTGATCTGGGACTTCCAGCCTCCAGAACTATAAGCATCTTGTTAAGCTACATGGTGTGTGGTTGGTTGTTGGGGTGGACCAGAGCTAAGACATATATGTACACACATACATATTCAAACACACATTATATATATATATACACATAACACATGTATATACATACATATGTACATGTATGTGTATATATACACATTATATATATACATTTACTTATTTATTTATTTTGTGGTGCCAGGGATGAACCCAGGGCCTAGGTAAGTCTCCACCACTGAGCCACATCCCCAGCCCTTTTTGCTTTTTAATTTATTTTTTAGATATAGTCTCTGGATTTTGTCCAGGGCCAGCCTTAGACCACAATCTTCCTACTGCTATCCCCTACATAGCTAGGATTACAGATATGCACTACCACACCTAGCTTGATTTTTGAGATAGGGTCTTAGTAACTTTTTTGCCTGGACTGGCTTCAAACCAAGTTCCTCTCATCTCTGCCTCCTGCGTAGCTAGGATTATAGGTACATGTCACCACACCCAGCCCTTTACAAGAATACCTTCAGGAAAAGTTCAGCATTCCACTAGGAGCAAGGATTTGTATGGTATGAATCAAGAGAAGAACAAGAGGCCAGCAAGTGCACGTGATGGACCTGTGGTACCTCACAGTGGGCCTCTCCATCGTGCAATGGTCCCAGCGCTAACACCACAGCTCTGTCCTTCATGGACACCACCTATCTGCCAATGGCCACATTAAGACATTGCTGTCCAATGAGGGTAACTAACACACACTCATTGGGTAAAGCCATTTGTATGTGTGGGCAGATGGCAGATGTGAAACACTGGGGTGCAGAGGCCCTGTTGATGGATTCTGTGTGATGCCACCTTAGGCTCTGGGGCAGCTACTAAGCCTACTCAGAGCCCTTTTCCTGCACACAGTGTCCCCTGCCCCACCCAGCTGTTGTGAAGGTCCACGAGACTGCAAAGTGAGAGGTGTCATTCTTTGTCACACCCCAAGTCCATGGACTATGAGGTAACCAATTGAGAGGGGGCACAGTCAGGAGCAAGCCCAGACTCCCCCAACTCCCCACATCTATCCAGAGAAACTGGAGAATCTTCTGCTTCCCTCACTTGTGTGCACTGACTATTCCATAGTAGGAAGTTAGACTGAATCTCCAGGTTATCTGCCCTTGAACCAAGGTGACAGCTGTCCAGTCTTGCTAACCATGATAGAAAGGGCAGTCAAAGCAGGAGAGAGAACCTGGCCTCCAGGTTGTCAACATGACCCAGCAGCTGGGCTGGCCCCAAGCCCTGCTCTCCTACCTACCTTCATCACTTCTTCAGCTTCCCCCTCAGGTGTCACCATGTACAAGGACAACAGAAGGTTCTCCATGACCACCACCAGTGCCTCTCTCTTCTCGATGTAGAACAGTGTCTGGATGGCGCTGTCTGTGGATGCCACCTGGGCAGTCTTGCCTTTCTCATCTACATAGTGAACTGACCCTGGGGACAGAGGTAGGTCACTACGTAGGGGTTCCCGGCTTATCTGTATTTCCATGACATTCACAAGCAGCCATTTCTATCTACTTAAGGACATTTCCAAAATAAAATATCTCCATTGCAAGAATTAAGAAATAAAACATTTGCATGTTTCTTTTTTTGGGGGGGGGTACGTACTGGGGTTTGAACTCAGGACTTCAAGCTTACTAGACAGGCACTCTACCATTTGAGCCCCTCTGCCAGCCCACATTTGCACATTTTCAAAGGCTAGTATCTCTGAAATCATCTCCGCTTTACTGGTCTGGGCCCGCCTTGACTTAGCTGTCTCCATGACTCTCTTGGGATGTAAGCATCCCAACTGTTGACACCTCTGATTCTGCAGCCTTGTAACTCTATAATCATCTCTGTCCACTAACTGTAGGTATACTTAGACTTTAAATGATAAGCCTTCTCCCCGTCACTCTGGTCCTGTGTTGCTGGTGTGCCATCTGCCTTCTTGCCAGACTTTCTGGCCACCCCTTGCTCGTCCTTTCTTGATCCTCCACATCTAAGCTGCAGAGTCTGTTGTCCCACAGCAGCCCTTTCTCTCCACGTAGACACCTCCTCTTCCCTCCAAGTGCCAAGCTGCTACTCCAACACTGGTCGGAGCCATCTGCCTTCTTCCTTCCTTCTTGCGCGTCTAAGCTTTGTGGTGAGGCCCCTCCAAGTTCCTGGATTCTCTGGCTCATTTCCATGGCTCTGCAGGAGCCTCATTACTCTCCTTGTCTCTTATCTTATTCCCAATGGATAACTTGATTTCTTAGTAAATGAAAGTTCAAGTTTATCTAGGCTAATTGTAGCAATTAAAAGGCACAAATTATGTGGTGGGCACATTCACAGGTAATAATATGATAGACGCTAATATAATCCCTATCTTCTACATAGGAAAGTTGAGGCATATGGAACAGCTTTCTCCCAAAGCCCATATCTCCTGGGTGATGGGCAGACTTTGCACCTGCCCCATAGCTGGGCTCTTCCATGTCTCTGTACACTCCATCTTCCAGGCAACCAGCAACATTCCCTCCATATGCTTTGTCCCACTCACTCTTACCCCCACTCAATGTGCCTTGCTTGCTTAGATATCCCCTCCTGGACTTCCTCAATAACCCCCTACATGAGCTCCATCTCTTTACCTGTAATTGCTATTATCATTATTATTATTATTTTAACTCAGGGCCTCATGCTTGCTAGGCGGGCGCTTTACCACTTGAGCAATGCCTCTAGCCCATTATTGCTTTTACTCACTTTTCAGATAGCTGTTTTTGCCCAGGACTGGACTCAGACCACGATCCTCCTACCTACGCCTCCTAGCTTCTTTACTGACATGTGTTCTCATTGCTTGGGCTGGCCTTAAAATGCAATCCTCCTGATCTCCACCTCCCAAATAGCTGGGATTACAGGCATGAGTCACTTTGCCCAGCTCTATTTACTTTCTAAGTGGAAGGTTTCTCCTACTTATAACTTTCAATGCCCACAAGCATCCATCCACCATAATCTGCTCTCTTCTTCCCACCAAGGTTGGCTGCTTGGTGAAACAAACAGGAACAGCCTCCTACTTCCTCAGACCAGTCACCTGTGTGGCTCTTGTCTCCTGGGTCTCTCCCAGCCACAGACACATGGGTGACTGTCAAAGGCACTTTCCTTTTTAGCTTCAGGGAGTCTCCTGCTTCGCTGAGGAGTGTCATTAAAGTCGACAGATGGTGCTAACCCTGACCACCGTGAGGACTGGATGCAAAGACCGCCCTGTCCTGCTTAAGCTTTGCTTACAGTGCCTGCACCACCTGGCATACAGCAGGTACTCGATAATTATGCAGAATGAATAATGGAGGCACCACAAAGGAAGCTTTTCAAAACCATCTCTATTGTCTCTGGTGCTGTGCAGTCAGGGTAGAATTGCTCATTAAAAGCTTCCTCATGAAAACTCTTCAATAAGAATTAAGCTTGCCTCATATCTGGCCGAACAGAGCAGAGCACTGGAAAACACCTGTGGAGAGCCCAGAACTCCAAGGTGGGCAGTCCTTGCCTGTCTTCATTTTACACAGACATAGCACTGTCAGTTTATAATCCCGGACAGGTTCACTTAACACACTTTACTCCTAGAGTTACAGGTCAGGTTCCTCACCATCCATCAGACTGACAAAGAATGACAGGCCTCCTTGACACCCCATCTTCAGGAAACTCCCAAAGCCACTCTTCCTCCAGTTAAACATGTCTAGGGCTTTCTCATCACCACTCACGGCTGCCTTCGCCAACTGAACCAGGTCCCTGAGAGTAAACAAAATGGCAGTCAGGATTCCTAGAGTGACCTGGGTCAAGACTCATACACCCCACTGGTGGGATGAAGGAAGACATGCCAGACCATCGGGAGCCTCACACTTACTCGCCAGGAGGAGGAAGCCGGAAGATGCAATGGGTGAGGGGTTTCCCATACTCATGCTTCAGCAGGGGTGTACCCTGCACTCGGCCCCGCTGGTCCAGCCTCCACAGGAGCAAGACACCAAGCTGCAGAGACCAATTGCACATGTGAGCAATGTCCTCATAGAATGACTGGCTTGGTGGGAGGTGAAAGGCAAATAAACAGCAGAACATAGGCTGATTACTTGGTCAGACAACTGCAGAGCTGTTACAGGTGCACTATGGAAATGCCAAACTGTCCAAAAGCATTGGAACTCTTCTTTGCATCCTCCTTCACTCCTCAGAGACAGCAGCGGTTGTGTTCAATTCTTTACAATGAGCTGTTAATTTTGGAAGATTCGGATTTACAGAAAGGGTGCAGACACTGCAGAAAGCCCCTATGACACTCAACTTTTCCTGCTACCAGATCACAAACAGCATGGAGCAACGAGCTGAATTACACTGCTGTTAACTGAAGTTCTCATTTTAGATCTCCTCACTCTCCCCAGTGTTCCTCTCTATCCTAGGGTCCGGCCTAGGATCCCACATGGCATTTACTGGCCATGTCTCCTCAGGAATCTCTGGGCTCAAGACAGTTTCTCAGACTTTCCTTCTTTGTTGTGACTTTAACAGTCTTGAGGTGCTGCTTAAGTATGGTGGTGAAAGGCGCCCTCCACTGGGATTTGTCTGATATTTTCCTCATGACTAGACTGGGATTATGGGTTTTTGGGAGGAGGACTACAGGTGCAGTGCCCTCTCATCACATCCCATCTAGGGTCCCCTGTATCAACACTATTCACCACTGTGGACGCAGACCTTGATTACCTGGTGGGGGTGGTGTTCATCCACTCTGAAGTGACCCTTGACTTTCCATTTCCATGCTGTGCTGTTTGGAAAGAAGTCGCTACATGCACTTCTCACTTGAGGGTGAGTATCTGTATAAATTATTTGGAATTCTTTAACATGGGAGATTTGTCTGCTCGTCACCATTTACTCACTTATTTAAAAATGTTTTTATAGAAACAGACTTGTGGACATTTATTTCATACTTTGGGTTATAATCTAATGCTGCTTTATCTTATTGCTCAAATTGCTCTAGCTTTGACCACTGAGAGCTTTTCTGGTTGACCTGTGTCTCTCTTATGTGCCTCCATCACGGAGGAGGTGTTTGTGAGCACCTCTTGAATTTCTGGCACTCCAAAACTCTCTGGGCTCATTTTCTTGCCCCTGCCCTAGAATCAGCCATTTCTCCAAGGAGTCCCAGTTCCTTTTCTTAGAGAATGGCATTGGAAACCAAGGTCTGGGTGGTCAATTTTAAAGTAACGAAAGCCTCAGATCAATGGCACAGGTAAGTGCTCTGGAAGTCCAGGTGTGGGAGGAGAAGACTCTATTATCCAATTGGCTGAGGAGGGCTTTGTAATTGGGGGATGCCAGTCAACCTTTAACACATGGCAGCATTTCCATCTGAATGCTGTACACCCAAGCATTCCCAGAAGAGTGCTTCCCAGTTTAAGGCCATTCCAGCACCTGTGAATCCTTCCTCATGTCCTCCTTTCAATCAGCAAATGCTGGATGACATCCCCTTTATTATATACAGGAATAGGATTTTTAAATTATATTGGCTTTCAAAGCAACTTATAGAACCTACAAGAAGACTCTGTAGTACCTAAAATAGCATGTGTCATGTAAGTACACATATAATATGAATAGTATATATTATCAAACTGATTTTCTTTTTGTCATTACTGGGGCTTGAACTCAGTGCCTCACAGTTGTGAGGCAGGCCCTCTACCACTTGAGTTACACCTGCAGCCCTTTTTTGCTTTAGTTATTTTTTGGATAGGATAGTCCAGTTTTTGTCCAGGGCTGTCCTTGGACCATGATTCTCCAACATACGCCTCCCACATAGCTAGGCTCACAGGCCCATGCCATGACCAGCTTATTGAGATGGGGTCTTGCTAACTTTTTAACCAGGCTGGCCTCAAATCATGATCCTCCCAATCTTCACCATTTGAGTAGCTGATATCACAGGGCTGTGCCACTGTACCTGACCTCAAACTGATTCTTTTTTCCTCTGTCAGCTTTAAGAAGACCAGAAGAAAAACACTACTGGTTTCCTTGTGTTTAGTAACTCTTTAAAAAAAAAAAAATGCTTGCATAGTAGCGGGGGGGGGGGGGGGGGGGGGGGGAAGCACATACAAAAGGATACAAAATGAAAATGTCCCCTTGCACCCTCCTCCCAGAGCTGAGCACTGTGAGGGCACCTGGGCCTGCTGCACCTTCTGAGATGCTTTACCTGCTCTGCCCTTCATGCAATCTCCCCACAATTGGCTCTGTTAGCACACCAAGCTTCCAGCTGACAATCACCCAGGTTTCTAAACATAATCACACACACACACAGCATGTCAGATTTCCAGGCTGCTGACCCACACCCTGGGAACAATGATTTCTGCTCAGGCAGTCAGTTGTATACCCCTTGTTCTGACAGGGGTCCTCAGGTTTCTGCCTATCAAGCTGGAAATGTGAACAGAAAGGACATGACTTGGAAAGTAACTCTGAGATGCCTCTGTGTCCTTTGTGGTACCTCCTGCATGTTTTCCCAAATCCTGCATGTTTACCTGCCCCGGCATCCAATCCTAGGTGTCTTCTCCTCATTTTCGTTCTCCTGAGGGCGTTCCTTGTCCTGTGTTTAGGACTCAGCATCCCATCATTCCCACGGGTAGTCTTGGTGTTCAAGGCTGCCTCTTCACTATATGTTATTCCTTCTAAGTTATTTCATGCCACATAATTCTATACAGTGAGACTCTAGAGAAAAAAATGCCTCTGTTGGACATGGTGGCACATGCCTGTAATTCCAGCATTTAGGAGGCTGGCCAAGGATCACAAGTTAGAGGCCAGCTTGGGCTACATAGCATGACCCTGTCTCAAGAAACCAATTTAAAAAAAAACCAAAAACTGAGAGAGTGGCTCACGCCTGTAATCTTAGCTACTCAGGCAGCAAACAGTTAGTGAGATCCCCATCTCAACCAATAAAAATCTGGGAGGGGTGGCATTTATCTTTCAACTCAGCTATGTGGGAAGTATAAATGGGAGGATCTCAGTCTATGTGGACCAGACATAAAAGTGAGACCCTACTGGAAAAATAGCTAAAGAAAAAAATAACAGGAGGTATAGCTTGAGTGATAGAACATCTGCCTAGCAAGTGCAAGGCCCTGAGGCCTCCCAAGGTGAAATCAGCCCTATTTGTGAAGGACAAAATTTTGATGTGCAGTTAGTGTTTTAGATGAGTCTGGGTGGCACGTCAAAGGATGAGTTAAAATGTTGGGTGCCACAAAGGTGCACCACTAAAAAGTGGTGACCTGTCACATATTGGGGTATAGGTCTACTTGACCCTCACATTGGGCTTCACGAGACACCTGGAGGAAACAAATGGCCTGGCTGTGTGACATTCTCCCTTCTTCTCTATCAACAGGACTTGTAATGAACACTTAGTGGATTCCTGCCTGGTATCCCTTTATAGGGATGACCCAACCTTTCAAGCACTGTTGACTAATACCTGTGGGGTGCTGGGGTGAACTGGACTGTGGGGTTTCCTCCTTGAGTCTGGGCTTAGGACACAGAGGAGGAGCAGGCTGTCCTAAAGCCAGCTGAGCTCTTGCCTGAGAATATGAGACACCCCACTGGTCTCAGATCAAGAGCACCTTCCTGCTTTAGCTGGTCTGGATTGGCTCCTTTGGTGAGCACAACAGGGTCTGTGGTGGAAGAGGGGAGAAGTCCCTTACACCAAACCTGGTGAGAGATGTTAGTTCATTCTTTATCCTTCTCTTCCTGCTTTAGCTTGTAATTAAATTAGTTATGGAGCCCTTCAATTTTGTTCAGAAGGCTTAGGCATTCTGTTTGCAATTGTTCTGACTCACAGGACTTAGTCAGCTCACACCTGGGTTTCATTTTATGCCTGAGCAATCTGGTTGGTTGTTTCTCATGCCATCAAGATCAGAATGATGAAATGCAATGATCTCGAATCACGCTATTCCAGTGGGGGATTGTCAGACTGTTCCACAGCAGAGAGGTGGGAAAGATCACCAAGGAAGTGGGAATCTGGGGGCAGGCAAATGTCATTAGGTGGGAACAGAACAGCAAAACAGACGAAAAAAATCATCCAGAAAAAATGAAAAACCCAATAGGACAATGGGTAAATGATGTGACTCGAAAAGTTGCTACAGATGTCTCCCCAAGATGATATGCAACAACCACAGCAAGAGAAATGCAAATGACAGCTCTAAACAGTGCTTTTCTAAGTAAAATCCTCACACACAGACATTCCTTCTGTGTTGGTGTAAGCTGGTACAAACCCATGGAGGGTGTTTTGGGCAAACCAGAAAGGCAGGGTGGGAGTATGGCTCAGTGGCAGAGTACTTGCCCATTCCATCCTGGGTTCGAATGCCAGTACTGAAAACAACAACAACAACCTGAAAGGGCACATGCCCTACCCCCTATTGGCGATCCCACTGATGCATTTTCTCCACACAGATACATGTACAAAAAGACAAAAGCACAAGAATGCTTATCGACAGATGTCTGGTTAAACAAATTGTAATATTTTCATATAATTAAAAGCTGATTACAAGAGAACAAGAAAGCTTTCTATTTACCAGTATGGAAAAATCTCCAAGATCCAGTGCAAAATTCAAGAAAACAAGAAACGGAACAGTGTATAGTATGCTATGTTAAAAAATGAGAAAAATAAACACAATACCCTTGCTATAGTTTGTATTTAAAATTTTCCCTAAGGCCCATGTGGTGCTATTGGGATGTGGTGGTAGAACCTTTAGAAAGTAGGTCCAAGTGGAGAGAAGTTAGGTCACTGGAGGTTTGCCTTTGAAGGAGATATTGGAACCCAGTCCCTTCCTCTCTCTTTGCTTCCCTTGGCTATGAGATCAACAGACCTTTTCCACCATGATGGACTATGATGTCACAGGCCCAAAGAAACAAGGCCAAGCAACCATGGACTGAAACCTCTGGAACCATGAGGCAGAATGAACCTTCCCTCCTTGTAGGTTGTTTATATGAGGTGTTTGTTACAGTGATGGAAAACTGGCTAACACAACTTTTTATATGATATTCTTGCCCCAAACACTTGCAAATTTAGGGACATTCTGCAAAACCAGTAGTCTGGACTCATAATGTGAATGTCATGAAGATAGAAGGAAGGGAGAAAGGAAAGAAGTGAGGGAAAGAAAAGATAAAACAGAGGACTGGGTCTTGATTAAAAGAGAAACAGTCCTTGGCTGAATCCTAGCTTTGGAAAAGACCAGCTATAAGGACATGATTGGGACAACTAGAGAAACTGTAATATGGACTGCCTATGGGTAATGTTCTGTATCAGTATTCAGTTTCTGAGTGTGACAGTTATATTGTGGCTATGTACAAGAATGTCCGCTTCTCAGTGGATAGATGCACAGTATTTAGGAGAGAAGTATCATAATGTCTGCAATGAACTTGCAAATATGCAGGATCAAAATATATACAGAAAGAGAGAAAATGGATGTGTTATTGGTGACTCTGTGAAGGGCAGAAGGTAATTTCCTTTCAAAACTCTTTCAAAGACTTGAGGTGTGCCTGAAGAAGAAATTGGAGCGACCCTAAGAAGTAGTATGTCTGGAGGGCGGGTTGAGGGGATCTGAGGACAGGCTGGAGAGGCTTTTCACCTTGTATGCCTTGCATGCTCTTTCAACTTTGAAACATGTCAATATATTACCTTTACTCAAAATAAATGAACACACTGTAAAATTTCTGCTGTACATTTGTGAATCATAGTAGGTCTAGATTAGGGTTTCTCAGCCTGGGCACTAGACCACTCTCTGTTGTAGAGAATGTCCTGTGCATTACAGGTCACTGGGCAGCATCCCTACCTTCTACCATGGGGCATACGAGATGCCACTAGAACAACGCCCCCCCCGCAAGTTTTACAACAAAAATGTCTCTGGACACTGCCAAATACCTTCTGGTTAAGAAGCCCTAAGGTACAAACAGGACTGAGAACCCCTGGGTAGCTAAGAACAGCCCATGGAATTGGGTATACTGGGGAACATAAAAGTAACAGTATAGAGATATCTACCCCATCTCTATGAATACAATTTCCTAGCAAAGTTTATTTTTAAAATCATAGGCAAATCTTTGTCATAGAATGCAATCTTAATGAAGCTTCAGGTCTTACTTCAAAAAAATCAAGCTAAATCTGCAATTACATCTGACAAGATCAGTTGAATCTGGGACCCACACATTTCAAGTAACTTGGTCTTTAGCATCCCTAAGAGTACGGTGGAGAATGGAGACTGTGCACTTACCCTGTCACCAGATACCAAGCAGCTCCCACTGGTGCTCCAACTGAGGATGGTGATGTCGGCAGTGTGTGTTGGGGGCACCGTGTGCTGCTCCTTGTCCTGCTTGTTAAACACGATCACTTCTCCAGTCTCCCAGCCAATAGCCAGGACCAGTCGTGTTGGGTGCCAACACACGGAAGTGACTCTGAAGGACCTCTCAATATGCGTGTCGGGGACAGGCTCACCCTATATTGGATGAGAAGTAAAAATCCCATATTATGGATAGTGGCAGCTACTCTTAAGAATTTCTACCTAATCCACGCAGTTGGCATCAGCCAGAGACCTGAAGAGCTATCTATTATGTGAATGTTCTTGTTAGGCTCTTGAGTCTTTCTAAAAACACACCAAACTTTCTCTAGCTGAGCCATTCTAGCAGAAGGTAACCAACACTCAGTGTCACCCTAATGAGCTTGTCAAGGAGGGTAGCCTTATTCTCACAGCTGTTGCTTGACAATGAGCAAGCACTTCAATGGGTGAGGCTGGGTTTCAGCAAAACTTACTGTATGTGTGCGGTAGGTCAAAGTTTATTGCCCCATGCTTCTCAGAATGGGTCCAGAGCCCTGAGTCCTTCTAGGTACCCGAAAGATCAAAATGGGTCCAGAGCCCTGAGTCCTTCTAGGTACCCGAAAGATCAAAATTATTTTTGGAATGATGATAGAAGGTGTATGCCTTGGTACTCTCATTCTCTCATGAGCATACAGTGGAATTTTTCTAAAGACAATGTGAAATGTGATATCAGGTGCCACTGCTCTGACAGCCCATGGACTATATTGCTTATATACACGGATGCTTTCTAGAATTTTCTAAGAAAGTAGGTATAGGGTATAAGTATGTGTTCTTTCAGACATTAACTCAGTTTTTTCTCAGTTCTTCTACTGGACTTAGCTTCAGTCTTCAGTTTTACCTGCTATATCTGTAACCTCATCATAACCCAATAAATCCTTGTTTTGAAATCTTAAAGTTTTCCTTGCGTCAATTGGAAACACAAGAGGTGTACTTTTTTGACTTGTATCGCAATAGACTACTGTAAATTTTCTTTATTTAATGTTTTATCTAGATTCATTATAATAATATTGCAATTTATATTTATTCTAAAATACCTATTTACGATACATACTTGGTGCTGGGGGTGGACTAACCTGTAAAGCAGGTGTGGCCCTTGATGAGCCTGACAGAGATGGACATGAGTTACAGATAAGCTGGGTGGGCAGGCAGTAGTGTGTGTATGTGCACGTGTGTGTTTCCTGAGGAAGAGTGAGGGAGATTCTGTAGAGTGGATGGCATAGCCTGTGTAGTGCTGGAAGGCTGAGGACATGTTGGTAGGCTCTGTTGTGTCTGCAGTAAGGGAGGGTCCAGTTCTTGGGGGCACTGGAGGGACATTAGAGATTTCCATGCTTACCCAAAGATTTCTATGCAACACAGAATGGGGGTGGGAAAGGCTCACAAGGCTGAGCCGCTTCAGTGAGAAAGATGTGCTAGAGTCAGGAAAGAGAAGACAGAAGCCTGGATGTGGAAAGGGCTAACAGAACCCAGAGGATATGGGGGTAAAAGTGATAGGGACAATTTCAGTTCAGTTTTGGATTTGTAGAGTGTGAGGTCTCTTTAACATCAAGAGATGTCACAAAGGCAGCTGGATTCCTAAGTCCGTAACTCAGGGAGGCCTTCTGGGCAGGACACGTATGTTTGTAAGTCATCCATTGATGATGGCCACAGGGAAGGTCAAGTTCACAGGAGGAGAAAAGAGAGTCAAGAGGCCATGAACAAGCTCTGGGCAATGCTACAGCTTGGAAAAGGAGGAAGAGCTGGCAAAGCTCACCAAGTAGGCTATGGAGAAAAGTCCCCACTTTCTGCAGTTTCCCTGATGGCTCAGGGAAACATGCTGCTGTGTAGATGAACACCCCAAAATACTTGGGGTGTTACACAGAGTCACTGATGTCTGCAGCTGCTTTGATGACATTACAGTGGTAACAGAGAGATGGCTGAGGGTTGAGGAGGGAGTGGAGGAGGAAATTCAATTTTCTTCATGAAGTATAAGGCATGTTATGCACTGAGAGTGATTCAGGGAGCTCTAGAATTTTGAGGACCTTGGGGATAGTTTCTGTTATGAAGTAAATTGAGTGCCCTAAAAAGATATGTTGACATCCTAATCCCTGACACCTGTAACGTGACCTTCTTTGGAAACAGGTCTATACAGATAGCAGCAAGTTAGGTTGAGGTCACTGAGTGGGTCCTAATCATATAACACAGGTGCCCTTTTAAAAAGAGAAGAGAGCCTGGGAGTATCACTCAGTGGTGGGGTGCTTGTCCTACGTGAGGCCCTGGGCTCAAGACCCAATATAGAAAAAAATAAAAACAAAAAAAGTAACAGACACAGACACATATACTAGACGGCCATATTTACAGGAAAGACTGGAGTGATGTGCTACAAGCCAATCACACCAAGGACTGCCTGGCAACAACTGAAGATAAGACAAGGTCATGGTTCAGATTTCAGAACCATGGATACCTTGATTTTAGACTTCTGGTATCTACAGCTGTGAGAGAGAATGAATTTTGAATGCTTTAAGTCACCTAGTTTGTGGTAAGTTGTTGCAGCCGTCAGATAACAAAGTGAAGAGTTGAGGAAAGAACTCATAGCACAATGGATCAGGATTTACAGACCATGCTAAAGGCTGGTGACCATAAATAAAGCATTCTTAAATAGTGATTCAAACCTAAATGGCAGGCATAAAAGAACTGCCCACATACCAGAACTTTTATAATATTGGGAATCTGGACCTATGTAAGAACTGATAAGAAAAAAGCTACAGTGGAGCTAATTTGATCTATCTCAATTTGATCTCTTCCCCCTCCTCCTCCACACATATCCCACACTCAAGTTCAGAAGAAACACAAGATCCAGAAGTTTCTAAAGTTGGATTTGTGGCTCTAAGGACTTACTTGTTCCAGGTAGATAGCCACACTGCCTCCTGACGTTGTGCTCACGGAGGCCACTGCCAGGAATGGGTGAACAGGGTGCCAACTGATGTGGGAGGGGAACCCGACTGCATCTGGGGCTTTGATTCGGTGGTCAAAATAGAGGGCCATGATGAAACACAGACCCGTTAGGGCTGAAACCTGCAAGAGAAAAAAAATCAACCAAGAACACTTATACTTAGAATTATGAATGGGAAGCCAACCTATAACCTAAGATACTCAGCAACTTAAAAAATTTCCTTTGGACAATTTGATTTGGAAGAGTTCTTTCTCAACCAGGGGAAAAAAATATAAAATAAGCAAAGACTTGGACATGGAATGGTCCAGGGAGTGATGGAAAAGAATAAAACTCACCGCCAGCAAAAAAAAAAAAAAAGAATGAAAGGGGAGAATGAAAGCAAGAAAACAGAGGCCTAGACTTCAAACACGAATTCTTATTAATTTTTATTCTAGTCATAGGGTGATTTTAATTTCTACAACTGCCTTTTAAACAAAAACTTTCAAACAAAACAAAACAAACTGCCCACAAGAGGATACCTTTACAGAAAAATAAAAACAAAAACAACACAGTACTCAATTTTGGAAAAAGCATAAAGCTCAAGAATGTCATCTAGATGTGACTCCCAGGTGGCAGAGGACAGAGGGCTGCCTTGTTGGAGTCAGGAACGCAAAGCCACAGCAGCCGTGGATAAGCTGAATATGATTTGTTACATGCACTTAATCAATTAATTCCCCTCCAACAGCAGTACTGGTGTTTGAACTAAGGGTTTCTGGTTGCCAGGCAGGTGCTCCCCTAGCTCTTTGTGCTTTTTGTTATTTTTTAAATACAGTCTTGCTTTTATGCCAGTGCCAGCCTGGACTATGATCCTCCCATTTATGTGTTCTGTATAGCTGGGAAGACAGGTATGCAGGACTGTACCCTGTTTTTTATTGTTTGAGATGGGGGGTCTTGTGGGCTGGTTTCTAATGGAGATCCTCCTGATTTCTGCCTTCTTAATTAACTTTTAAGTTAACTCCATCTCTTTTATCTTTCTTTTCAGACCTGGAAAGGATATAGGTATTGTTCCTTTTCAGGATGGTGGGATGGTGAATGGGATGACAGTCTGACTACTGGCGACCTTTTTATACCCTGGAGTCAGTTGGGAAAGCCAACTGGCAGAGGAGAGAATATTTATGGGCTTGGTTTGCCATCACATAAAATGATTCAGCCTCACACCCATTACAACAGCTACTATTAGGAAACAAAAAACATTAAGTGTTGGTGAGAAGGTGGAGAAATAGGAACCCTTGTGCACTGCTGGTGGGAATGTAAAATGGAAAACAGTGTGGCAATTCCTCAAAAAATCAGACCTAGGATTACCTACCATATGTTCCAGCAATTTCACTTCAACAAATTGAAAACAGGGACTTGAAGAGATTATATACCCTATGTTCATAGCAGCATTATTTATAATACCTAAAAAGTGGAAATAACCCATATATTCTTCAATAGATGAAAGCATGAACAAAAAATGTTTATTCTACACCAAGGAAAGGAAGGAAATTCTGGCAGGTGCTGCAAGGATGAACCTTTAAAACATTATACTAGGCAATGAGCCAGACACAAATACTGTCTGATTCACATAAAAGAACGAGGTACACAGCATGATCAAAAATCAGTGAGTTGTTCTCTTTCTCGTTCTAGAGAGACCTGCTTTCAGTCTATTAAAAGTGTATCCCTTTCCTAACAAACTTTACTGTCACTTTCACTGCAAAAAAAATCAGAGTGAGAAGTAGAATGATAGGTGCCAAGTCCTGGAGGGAGAGAACAGAGAGAGTTAGTGTTTTATGGATACAGAGTTTCAAACTGGGGTGATGAGAACGTTCTGGAGATATGGTGATGGTTGTACAATATTGCAAATATGCTTAATACGGCTGAACTATATACAGTAAGCCCATCTCACTCGTGGATTTATTACACGTGGCTTTGACCAATTGTGGTCAACAAAACTCCCGCACACTGTATTATGCAGTTCAGCTGGTGTCAAGAAGTTCTCAGTCAGTCCTGTGTTTGTATTTAAACTCTGCACCCTGAGACTTCATAGAGCACTCGTGGTTTTTCCTCAATAATAGTTTCCTTGGAACCATATCCCCAAAGATACCAAGGGCTACTGCACTTTCAAATGGTTAAAATAGTCATGTTTTTTTTTAAGTGCTAGGGATTGAACGAGGGCTTCTCATATGCTGTGCAAATGCTCTATCACTGAGCCAACACTCCCCCTCAGCACGAAATGGTAAAATTTTATATCATGTATATTTAACCACAATAAAAATTAAAGATATGCTTTTAATGTATAATTAATCAAAAATAAAATTTAAAAAAATAAAAAAAAATTGAAGACCTGTAAAATTCTACCAAGACAGTAGATGCAGGAGCAGTGGTTCATACTCATAATCCCTGGTACTTGGGAGGTGTAGATCAGGAGGATCATGGTTTGAGGTCAGCCTGGGCAAAAAGTTAGTGAGACCATCTCAACCAATAAGCTGTACACGGCGGTGTGCACCTGTCTCAGCTATTTAGTAGGCACAAATAGGAGGATTGCAGCCCAGGCCAGCTGGGCAAAACCTTGAGACCTTATTTAAAAAATTAAGTTAAAAAGGGCTGGGGTAGTAGCTCAAGCACCTGCCAAGCAAGTGCAAGGCCTTGAGCGCAAACCCTAGTATCACTGAGAGAGAGACAGACAGACAGAAGGAACTGGATTAATGCTGTTTGCTTTTAGCTGTATGAGAGGGAGCTGGGAATGCTATTTTCCACTGGGAGAAGGAAATTCTCTTTAATAAGAAGTTGGGAGATATAAGGTATAAATGAATTGTTACTGTTCAAACACAGGCCTTATTCCTAGGAGTATTCACTCTGAAATACTAAACAAAGTCACAATTTTTGAGGCTGCACTCTCATCCCTACGAACTAAAGAGGACCAATCCAAGGATTCTAGTGGAGTGGCCGGCTATGGTCTCTAGACTCTCAAGTAGCTGGAAGAGCAGGAGATAAAGTCAGAGTCAAAGGAAGCAGAAGGACCCCAGATCTCCTGCACACAATAGTCAGGGTCCTGGTTCCTTAAGTCCTTAACAAATCTTCAATAAAAATGGTTAAAAATGAAAGGACACTAAATAAAACCTGGGTGACTTAAAATAGTAAAGGAAGCATTTTAATGAGTTCTAATGTGTTGCAGCAAGCCAAGAGTCTAAATCCTGGGCTATGTAATTAACAAGTTTGTGAAAAACATTTCTCTGAAAAGTGAGTAATGCATTAGCTTTGCCTAAAGATGAAGAATTATAATGGTACTTGAAGCTGGGCATCAGCTGTAATCCCAGCACTCAGGAAACTGAGGCAGGAGGACCAAGAGTTCCAGACCAGCCTGGGATATATATCGACACCCGCCTCAAAAAAAAAAAAACTTGAATAAAATAAATCTGATTCCCCCATATTTTTATTTCCAATATCACTTTAAAAACCATGTAAATACTATGAATGTAAATTCATAGTAAAAACTATGAATGAAAGGCCAGATGTGGTGGCTCACACCTGTAATGCTAGCTACTAGGGAGGGGGAGATTGGGAGCATCGTGGTTTGAAGTCAGCCCAGAAAAGTTTTCAAGACCCCACTTCAATCAATAAAAAGCTGGACGTGGTGAAGTACGCCTGTCATCTCAGCTACCAGTTACTTGGAATCATAAATAGGAGGATCACAGTCCAGGCTAGATTAAAAAAAAAAAAATCAAAGCAAAAAGGGCTGGAGGCAGGGCTTAAGCAGTAGAGTGGTTGTAAGTAAAAAGGCTGAAGTTCAAACCCCAGTATTGCAAAACAAACAAAAAACCCTATGAATGGTAAGGAATCCCAGATGAAGATGTTATGAGCAAAGAATTCAATAGTCAGGAATTCCCTATTGAAGCCCAGGCTGGCCTCTAACTATGTAACCTGGAACTCTTGATTCTTCTGCATTAGCCTCCTGAGTGCTGGTATTAAAGACATACCCAATGGAAAGATGTTTTTGATGCTTTTTTGTTACTTGGAAGAAGCAGGTTACAGGCCTAACTGAACAAATCCTTTTTAATACAATGTATAACTGTTCACCATTGTTTTCACCTGCAACACAAATTTCTAAATGAATTAGCTATATAATTTAAAAAGTTACCAAAGTAAACTCAAAGAGGCAGATAACTAACAAAATAGTTACTTAGTGACAATTTATTAATGGCCTTAGTTTAGAAACAAGTTCTTAGACTTCCTTAAAACAAGATCCCGGTATCTAGGACATAAAACTGGCAAACACAGTTTGGGGAAAAGAAGAAACATTTCACTTATTCTAACCGATTGACTCCCTTCTTCTACAGTCATCCAACGCCTTCAGGGGCTAAGTGCCTCCATTAAACCAACTTTTGGGAAAGAATGTTATGCTCATTCAGCCATGGTGACACTTAATAATAGGCTTTAAGAAGCCTTACTTCTGGGTGACAGTGTCAGGAAAACAAGGAAGTGCTCCAATGTGCACTTTTAGGGGCAGGCACTAGTGGTCACACTCCAAGGTCTAGCCCTCCAGGCCAACATCTGAGGGACTTTACTGAAAGCCCACGCCCGGGGGTTTGGTACACGCGATTCGCTCCAGCCGTGGGTTTGGGTTTAAGCCGCCCGGCGGTTCTCTTCCATTCCCCGTTGATGACGCTGCCCACTCCCCACCCCAGAGGGACCCGCACATCAATGTGGAGCCAGCCAGGGTCTCAGGACTGGGCCGGGAGGTGACAACCAAGCCAAGCCAGGCGCGAAGGACGGGCCCGGCAGGCGGACCCCAGCACCCTAGCCCAGCAGGCCTGACTCCCTCATGCCGGATCCCAGCTTCCGCCCTGACGCTGCAGGCCTACGCTATCTGGACCCCTGCAGCCCCGACTCCACCACGCTGGGTCCCGCCCGGTCCCAGACCCTCCCAGATCCCCAATCCACCCAGGCCTGACGGTCCCTCAGCCTGATACTCACCTCCACTCCGCCACTGAGCCGCCCGCGTTGCCAGGACAACGCCGAGCGAAGGCGGAAACAGCCGAGAGACCGACACGCGGCCAACACCGCCCGAAGGGCCTAGCAGCGGAAAGAGCCGAAGACGATCGTCAGTACTCGGCGCGCCTCCGGGTTGCAGCCCCGCCCCAGAGCAACAGCGCTAGCTGGCAGCTGGGTGGTCCGCGTATTTCACATTGGGTTCGAGGGGGCGACGGGGACAACTGCGATCCTGGACAAGCAGCGCCATGTTCCCTGAGGCTTCTCTAGGGTTAATCCCGTCCACCATATGCAGGCCATCGCTGGGCTCCGCTGCGTCGCATCAGATGGGAGGGCTTGGCTTGAGCGCTTCCCTAGGATGTCCGGGGCACGGTGTGGCGGCGCGCAGCCAGTGAGTCAGGCCGCGCAAACGCCTTGGGCAAGAGGGCGGTCCGCGGGGGCTCGGCAGAGCCAGAAGGCCAGGTCGTGGGGACCGCGGGACGGCCGCGAGCACCCCAGCCGGCGTCAGGTCTGCCAGAGGCCAGTGCCACTGAACAGCAGACGCAGCAGTACCGTCCACGCTGGTGGATGAGAGGGAGAACGAGAGGCGAGGACCTCGCGCGAACGGGGATCCTATTTTTCAAACCTTACTTTCATAAACACTAAAGTTTCGAAAGCTCCCTTATTGCCTTGATGAGGAAAAGTGGCAGCAGGCTACATCACTGTACGTTTGTCCCTTTAGACTAACTCCCACACTAACTCGTCCCAACCCGGGTTCGCGCGCGATTCAAGAGGCGACTGTGAGGCGTCAATTTCTTCTCACGCATCCGTCAACACCACCGCAGCCAATTACAGCCCAGTCACTGATTCTATTGGTCGTAGATTCGCCAATCCGAAGCGACGCACGGCCCGCACGGGCGCGAGGCCGGCATCATAACACGCCTCGCGTCTCGGGCCCGCCCCCTGAGCCCGTGCGTGCGAGCGCGCTCGTCCCCCTCCGGCCAATAGCGGCGCCGCTGGGGGGGCGCGCCCGCCGGAAACCTCGAGCGTGCTCGTCCCCGCTCGTGACGCCCGCCCCGCCCCGGCGCCGTCTCCGCGTCTCCGGCGGCCGCCGTAGCCGGAACTGTGCGGAGCTCGGCCGGCGGGGCTTCGGAGGCTGAGCGGCGGCAACACCGGCGCCCGAGCCCCGTCACCTGTGCGCCGGCCCGCGGAGCGGACGTGCGGGGAGAACTCTTCGGCGGCCGCGTCGTACGTGCGACCAACAGCCCGGCGTCGCGGCCTCGCCGCAGCCGGAGCTGCCCGGCCTGGCCGGAGGCTCGGGGATCCGGGAGCCAGGCTCTCGCGGGGCGTGGATGAAAAAGGTGACTGCAGGCTGCGCTCGGGAGTCCGTCCGGCCCGGTGCAGGGGATGAGGTGCTCCCAGGGCTCGGCGGACTGGGCGGACCGCGCCGTGTGCAGCCAGCAGTCCGTTCCTCGGGAAGGTGCGAGGTTCTCGCACCCGAAATAGGACAAAGGGTGTGGAGTCGGGATGGGGCCCGCCGTGCCGGCGCCTCCCACCGTCAGGAAGTGACGGGTTTTGGTGACGGACTCAGAAAGAGGAGTCCTCCCCGGTAGGGGAACGGCCCGAACGGGTCCATACCCCCTGCACAGCGCAGCGCTATGGGCTCGGCCTGGCTCCCGGGCGAGTGGGTTCTGTTCCAATAGACGTCCTTTCCTTGGTAGTGTTGGCAGGACTGGTTCTCGTAGCGGGGTTTTCCCTCCGAAATCCAGAGACAGCCTTTGGGAACTGGTGCTTGGATTACGTGGTAGAAGTGAGGAGATCGAGAGATGAAGAGCCAAAAGTCCTGTGCCTGTGAGTCCTTAGTTTGGGTGTGTGTCTTACATAGTGGCAGGTGGTTTTTTTTTGGGGGGGCAGCATTTTAAGGATGAATTCCAAGATGAAAACCGCTGCACACCATTTGGGGGCAGCTCTAGCAGAGTAGTGGTGCTGCTGCGAGTTTTGCTCAGTCTTTCTGAGAGGTCCTTGCCGCTTGCTGTGTTTCTTTGTAAGCGTTGGTGCTTTGCTGTGGTTTTCCTTTTCAGTAGGAATGTCCTCAACTTGTTTTGAGCACAGTATCTCATCTGTTGAGGAATGTAATGTTTCTTTTTCTTGCTTCATCACGTACGCAGCACTCACTGGCCGTGCCTGTGCGTAAGATGTTGGGATGTAGTTTATTCTGAGTGGCTGTACCTCTGGGCTGCCAACAGTTACAGTCGCATAATTTGTTACTGACATTTTATGTGACAGTGAGTAGCAGTTCACGCAAGAATTTTATTGTTACCAAGATTGTGTACACAATTCTGTTCGGTTTTTTGCAAAGAGAACTGTGCTGTCACTTTCCCGGGTGTCCCTAACCTGTTCCATGCAACAGGCTCTTTGTTGCACAAGCGTTTTAGTTGGCACTTCCCGCAGCAGCCCGCATCTCCCGCCCGGGAAGGTTCCCGCAGCGTGGAGCCTGTCGCTCTGAGTGCCAGCTTCGGAGGGAGCGGCGGCCCCGTCCCGCGGGGCTCCCGCGCCACTGGGCGCGCCTCGGTCCTGCGAGTGGACGGGGCTCCGCGGCAGCGCGGGCCGTTGCGCGGGGCAGGTGCGCAGCGGGACCCCGCGCGTCTTGGGCGTAGAGGGCGGGCTGCGAGCGAGGCCGGGCGGCCCTGGGCGGCGCGGGAGCGAGGCGGGCGCAGGCTGGGCCATGAGCCGCGGCCCCACGGGGTAGGTGGCGGGACGGCGGGACCCCTTAGGCTGAGGCGGGGTTGAAACCCGGCCGGTAGGGCTGCCGAGCCGCTGCGCCTCCGGCCGGCCGCAGACACACGGTTGGCAGGCCTGGGCGGTGGGCGTCCCTGGGAGGCGGCGCGGGCCGGCCGAGGCAGGCCTGACGGGCCGGGGTACGGGCCCGGTCCGGCGCGGTGCGGGCCCCGGCGGGCTGGCGGGCGGCGCTGGAACAAACAACGGCCGCCATGTTGAGAGGCCGGCGGTAAACTTCTGCCCGCTCCTCTCACCGCCCCTCGCCTCTCCCGCCGCAGGATGACAGTGAAGTTGGGCGACGCCGCCAGCGGGGAGGAAGGGCTCAAGAAGCTGGGCAAGCGGGCGGCCGATGAGGAGTCGCTGGACGGCGAGGGCCCGGGCGGCGCGGACGCGGCCGAGGACGGCAGCGGCACAAAGAGAGACGGGCCGACCCCGCGGGCCGGCGGCGCCCCGGCTCCCCCCGGGGGGTCGCAGGCGCCGTCCCCTCCGCAGGGCAGCCCCCAGGACCAGCACCACTTCCTCAGGTCCAGCGTGCGGCCGCAGAGCAAGAGGCCCAGGAAGGACGCGCCCTGCGCCGTGGGCAGCGGCAGCGCCAGCGGCTCGGGCCCCCGAGGAAAAGGTAGGCGGCCCCCATCCTGGGGCCCGTGTGGGTGGCGGGACCCCCCACTCTGGAAGGCACTTTGCAGTGGCATTGTCTCCACTCTCCTCCTAGGAGGCTGTTACTTTCCGTATTCCACCAGGGGAAGGAGCAGAGAGTGTCTTTTCTTTGGGCAAGTGAAATAGATTCCCAAAGGATCACTGACGACTTTCCACGATGGCCATTTTAAACTGAGGACAATAGCTTAGAAATGGGGAGAGAAAGTACCTGCAACTGTCTCCTTCTCAGACATCAGGTGGTGGGAGTACAACAAAAGAACTGGCTTTGAGTACTCTTGGGGGAAAGACTGATAAGAAGCCCAGAAGGAATGATCAGTAACCTCAAGGGCAGATTTGACTCCTGTCCAGCACTCAAGTGCTCCTGGCTTGAAAGTATGAAGGGCATAGCTCAGGGACCCTCAGAGTTTGAGCCAGGCTTACTTGTGCCACAGAAAGGAACACTCTGGATGGTAGGTGATGCAAACTAACATGATTTGATATCAAGGAACCACACTGTGGTGATGTCCTTGTGTTGTGAGGTAGTTGAGAATGTTAACTGCTTTTCCGGGAACCCTCCTGAAACAATAAGAAAATCAAATGTCTTTTTTTTTTTTTTTGTGGTTGTTCTCCATGTGCTCATACTTCCTTGTCTCCTTTTTCCTTTTATATTTCAGTATGGTGCCTTGTCTTAACTATGCAGGCTAACTGCTCTTACATTCTTTTTGTTTCAGACCAGGTTTGCAGCACTTTTTAAAAATAGCAAATGTAACATTCATTTCCAGTGAATTGTGCATGGAAAAAAATCTTTCACTTAGTTCCTTGAGAAGCGTTAATTTAAATTTTTTAAATGATCCCAATAGTTTTAAAAAAGAACATTTCAAGAGCTAACAGGGAATCCATTTTGAAAATCCTGTTCCAAATATGTTCCATTTAACTAGCTTTTGCCTCATTCACAACTAAAGAGGGCTGGCCTCTGAATTTATGGCCTAACTAGTTAATAAAAAATTTTGATGTATGTATACTTACTTCAACATGTAAGTATGAGGTAATGTTGAATGCTTCAGAAATTAAAATTTGCCTCATATAAGTTTATTTTGCTATGAAAATTGCTGATTGCTTAGGAAAATATTAATTTGTTTTATTGGCTTTTTATAAAAAGTAGTTTGTCATTGCTGGTTACAGATACACTTGAGCTTCTTAGGTCTGAACTCATGTAAGCTCCTGCGGTGCCTTTGTTTGTTGGTGGTGGTTTCACAAGTTCTGGACGTGGACTCCCATTGGTGTCCACATCCCCTGGCCTTTGACCCCACTCTGTTCATTTGACCTCTCAAAGTTGCTTGTCCATCAGAAAAGTGTCCCCATCTGTGAAAGAAGGAACAATATGAACTGGTGTGGCCTCTTGAAGAGTGGCTGTTGGGAAGAAATTAGGTGTTGGTGTGAAGGCACTGGCTTGTAGATAACTTCCTGTCCATAGGTGAAGGGGTGCTAAAATCCTGGTGTACAGATGGGTTGAGACAGTGAAGTGATGAAGGGAAGTTTGCTTTTATTTGTACAGTTGAGTAGCTTTCCCAGATGAAAGAGGTATCCTGGTTAACCTGTCACTCAAGTCATTGATGCTTCTGATCCTGGTTCTTGTCCCAGTGTGTTGCTTAGAACAGAGGTTGACTTTTCATTCTGTTTTTAGTATTAGTAAAATCCTATTTGTTAGAATTTGTGCTTCTTATTACTTCCATTTTCTTATTATAGTAAGCAAATACTTTGTTAAATAAACATGAAAGCTAAGCTGTAAGGGAGTTCTCAGGAGGGGAGTGGATAACCTGTCTCCTTTGCATTCAGAATTCTGCCAGCATCTGCTTCCAACTCCTAGCCGGGGCCTCCTTGTAGCTGCCCTGAGGTCACGAGGCTATGCAGACCCTTTGGATGTACTCTGTGTCCTGGACATCCCGTCAGGCTTTAGAGAGACCGCTTTGCACACTCACCATCGCTGCCCATTGCCAGGAGAGAAGGTCAAATGGGAAGCACTCCTCATTCATGTTGTCCAGTTCCCCGGAGGAACATCTCCCTTGTGATCTGGAAATCTCCACTTGGGGTGGCAAACATGGGTCAGTAGGAAATGAGCAATACTTACATTCTTCACTTCGAAAAAATATCACTTCTGTTTGTGTAAGGAAAACTTACAGTTGAGGCATTGGCAACCCCTTTGGTTGCTGGCTTCCTGTCTTGCCAGTCTCAGTTCCTAATGGGCCTTGGAGGAAAGGACTTATGGAGAAGGCTGAGGTCCTCCTTGTCGGTTTTCTCTACACAGCTCTACTTTCTTTCTCATAGTCGATAAGAGTAGACTTGGTTTTTTTTTGTTGTTTTTGTTTTTGAAATAGGGTCTAAACTTTATATAGTTCAGGCTGGGATGAAGCTTCCTAGGTAACACAGGCTGGCCTTGAACCTGTGATCCTCCTGCCTTAGCTTCCTGACTGCTGGGGTTACAGGCATGTATCACCATGTGTGACTACAGAGTAGACTCTTCTTCACTTTAGTGAAAAAATATTTTTTTTTTCTAGTATGGTTTCAGGTTCTTTTTGCATTTGTAAAGGTAGTGCGTCTAAGACTTAAGACTTAATGCCTGTGTGCCATTTTGCGTAACTGTAATTACTTTCAAATGGGTACAGAAACTGTTAGTCTGTTGTTAGATCTCAAGCTCAACCTAAGCAAGGTAAACTGCAGACCACAAATCAATGTATCTGCTTCCAGCTCCGCCACACTGCCAGAGTAACTCAAGGACACATTTGTGACTGAAGTCCAGAGTTTCTGAGACTGTGTCTGTAAGAACCTGTCTCAGGACACAGAGCCTTCTTGTTTGGCTGGTTCGTGGTCTTGTTGAGCCCGAGACAGATTAGTCTGTCTCCCAGAACCTTAATTTCTTTGTCCATAAGTGAAGATAAAGTGTTTTTAAAATGTCTTTGTAAAAGACAATAAAGTGTTTTTAAAAGATGTCTTATAAAACAGCTCACCTGCTACAGTTACCCTTGGTGACTGGTACCATACTGGAAAGAAGTCTGAACTAGCAGTCAGGGGGCCTGGCTTCTATCCCACAGCTGCCACATGGTTGGTTTGGTGTGTGACAGAAGGAAAGTTGCTCAATATTCCTGAAATCTAGGTTCCTCACTTAAAAAAAATTTTTTTGGGTGGGACTGAGATTTGAACTTAGGGCTTCATGCTTACAAAGCAGGTACTCTTACTCTCGAGTCACATCTCCAGTTCATTTTTGCTCTGGTTATTTTAGAGATGGGGGTCTCATGAATTATTTGCAGGGCTGGCCTCAAACTGTCATCCTTTCTATCTCAGCTTCCAAGTAGCTGGGATTACTTTTTTTTTGTGATATTGGAGATTGAACTCATGGCTTCCCCCAGGCTTTTTTACATTGGTTATTTTATTTTGATTTTTTGAGACAAGGTCTTGCTGTGTAGCTCAGGCTGAGTTCAAACTTGTGAGCCTCCTGAGAGCTGAGATTTTAGGCACATGCCACCATGCCCAGCTTACATTGGTTATTTTTGAGATAGGGTCTTGCTTTATGCCCAGGCTGGCCTGAACCATCTCTTATTTGTGCTTCCCTGAATAGCTGGGATGACAGCCATTGGTTAAGATAGGGGGTCTCATGAACTTTATGCTTGGCCTAGCCTTGAACTGTGATCCTCCCAATCTCTGCTTCCCAATAAGTAGTACTATAGGCTTGAGTCACCTTGACCCTTACTTTTAAAATGAGTCTGGAAAGCCACGCACCGGTGGCTTATGCCTGTAATCCTAGCTACTTGGGAGGCTGAGATAGTGAGGGTCATAGTTCCAGGCTAGCCAAGGTAAAAAACTTTGCGAGATCCATACCTGTCATCCCAGCTACATTGAAAGCATAAGTAGGAGGATTGTGGTCCAGGCTGGCCTGGGCAAAAACGTGAAACCCTATCTCTAAAATAACCAGAGCAAAGAGGACTGGAGGTGTGGCTCAAGTGACAAATTGCCTACAAAGCGTGAAGTCCTGACCTCTAACACCAGTACCACCTACAAAAAGAAAGAGTGATAAGCTCGTGGCTGAGAGCTGTATTTACCTAAACATTGAGGGCTAAAGGATTCAACTGTATAGAAGGGACTTGGATCCAGGTGGCCTCTGGTTAGCCCGGTTAGCCCTTGTCTCTGGGAGAACTCCAAGCAGGAGTCAGACTATATGGAGGAGGAGGCTCCATACAGATGGGGAGCTGTGTGTGGTACCTGGTGCTGCTCCACCTCCCTCATCTGTGCCGTGGTCATGGCTCATCAGGTATCTGTGCCTGGGCTGGGGCTGGCTGGCTAGAGTATGGGATGTGTGCCACGAGGTCCCTGCCTTCATACTCTGAGGTTTGTTTGTTTTTTTTCTCACTACTGGGGTTTGAATTCAGCATGAAATGCTTATTAAACGGGTGTTCTATCATATGAGCTCCACCTCCAGCCCCATGCTCTCCACAGGGGAGAAACATCAGATCATCACAAGACCACAGGCTGGAGCACTGTGTTTCTTTTGTCCAGTCTAATCTACTAAATGACACTTACCAAAGTTAGACAGTGAGGACTGGGTACAGCTCAACATGTTCATGCCTGGACAAGCTGTGCCAAAAACCCTGAGACCTGGGTAGGAGAAGACGAGGAGGAAAGGGAATTCTGTTCTGTTTTTACTTATATTCCCTGTGATGTCCAAGCATGTAGTTCTCCTTGACACATGTCTGTGCTCAGTGGGACAGATTAGGTGTGGCCCGGGCCACATCAGAGACTGGTTGTGATGGCACTGTGCAGGACAGAGAGGAAAATACCTATACATAAAAGTTTTCTTTTTTTTTTTTTTCTTTTGGCAGCAATGGGGTTTGAACTCGGCCTCATGCTGGCTTGGAGGCACTCTTACCACTCGTGTCACTCCACCAGCCCTTTTTTGTGATGGGTTTTTTCAAGATAGGTCTTTCGAACTAT